TTTTGCCATGGCAATGGGAGGGGGCAGGAGGAACTGCACAGAAGGGTGATTCAGTCACTGCCACGGGGGGCCGGAGGGAGAGGAAAGGAGGGCAGTTCTTGGCATTTTTAGTCTTGCATTGATTTGAACTGAAAAGCCCAGAATCTCAGGTAGGTCAGCTTGGGGTGGGGGGTTGCAAGTGACCTCTACACCAGCTGTTATTACTCTGCAGCCCTAGCTTACATGTGCCATCAGCCCCAGGTTTCACTCCAGCTATTCACAAGCAGAATCATCATGAGAGAGAAGAAAGGGAGGAGGGAGGGGGGGAGAGAGGGAGAGAGAGAGAGAGAGAGGGAGAGAGAGAGAGAGAGAGAGAGTGAGTGAGAAAGAGAGGGAGAGAGAGAGAGAAACAAAACTACTCATATCCCTTAGGGAGAAAAAGGAGGATTAATATATCACTCAGTATATAATACAGCCAAACTGAGCTGCCAAAACACACATGCTCACGCACACACGCACACACACAAATACTGAAAACAGAAAAAAAATCCCAAAACCAAGAGAAAGACTGAAGCTGGGAGTCTTCATGGTGGATTGACATTCCTCAAAGTACATTAGGCCCCAGGGAACCAAATACAAAAAAAAAAAAATGACCCCCCCCCCCACCAGTTCCCAACACAAACCCCTCCTGGGAAGCGAATGGGGGAGGGAAGGGAAAGGATGCCCCTTCTTTTCTTTCGTGCCAGTCTCAGATTAACCCTCACAGCACTGGCATTCTTCTACCGCCAGGCACCGGGGCCCCTCCTCCAGGCTGGCCATTTCCTTAAAAGCAAGGTCTGGGTTTTGGCCGGTGGGCAAGTTCTCCAGGAGTTACCAAATCCCTGCCAACCAGCACTACCATGGCTGAATTGATCGACCGTTTTCCTGAGTAAACTTTAACTGGCTACAGTTGTGGTAACGTGGAGGAGAACTCAACCGCAACAGCCAATTACACAACTTGGGGACCCCCCCCCCATTCCTAGAGTACTGGATTCGGGAAGCGAACGGCTCGTTGCAGTCAGAGCGTCTCGAAGACGAGGTTCTGCCCTCAGCAAACCAGAGGGCAAACCCTGGCCCAGGGACTGCCCAGGGGTCACTGCTTTTCCTTTGGACAAGTGATGACAAGGGGAGAGCACTCACAAAGAAGGGGAGAGGAGGCAGTGAAGAGGGGCTTTTGGACAGGAACAGAGCCAAAAAATATAGCGTTTTATGCAACTGAGAATCAAGTTTCACTGGCGTACACTACAATGGTCAACATCTTCAAGAGCGTGACAGAAAAATAAAGACACACAGAAGCTTACATTTGATGTTTACCTTGTACACTATTTTTTTTCCTATTTTAAAACAGTGCAGACAGGTAACATACGCTTTAAAACCACCACTACCCAAGCCTCCCCCCCACCCCCTCCCCCCAACTTCCTTTCCTCCAGCATCCAGGGGGAAGACCCCATCCTTCAAAGGGCTCTGAGCTAGAGGGCTGCCAAAGGCAGCGGGCGGTGCAGCTCCCCTTCTTTGGAGCTGGGCCTGGCCAAAGGGGAGGATCTGTAGACTCCTTCCTCCCCCCAGCCCCCTCCCTTCCTGGATTCCTGGTGCTCCCCACACTGTCTCCCACCGACCTCTTTACCCTGGGCAGAGGGAAGGGGACATTATGATGCCCTATTTGCATATTCTTGGGAATTATATGTTCCAAGCCCCAGTTTTACGCCCCTAGCTTTCCGAGGCTGCTGAGTACAACCAGTAAGTAATAGGATGTCCCTACCAAACTCTGACTCATTCACTTCCTCTGACTCACTGAGAACAGCAGACCCCAGAGGGAGGAGGCATGAAGACAATGCTGACCTTCCCCTCCCCAGACATCTCAGCTCAGGGGCTGCCTATCTCAAGAACTGAACCCCCAAAGGTTGGCTCACTGGTCTAGCTGCTGTCGCTGGCCAGAACACAATGCTTTCCTTCCTTTTGGATTCTGCAACCACAACCTTCAAGGCCAGATCTCACATGGCTAAAGCTAGGCGAATCTGAATGGTCCAATGTCCCACAGGGAGTTTGGGAAGGACCAGGAGCAGAGAGGGAAGAAGGGAGGCAGGGACAGACGGGGTCTCATTAGAGGAACTCTATGTAATCATCCAGCTGCCAGAGGAAACAGTGGAGGGAGGCTTCACTTACAGGGTCTGGACCAAGAGCTCTCCAGGGAGGCTGTCACTCACTCATTCAGGTAGAGTCAATCCACAAGGAAGGGTCTGAGGATTACCACCTGACCTCCTCTAACAAGCTGAGCAAGGATTCCAACCCTTGCCCTTCTCCGACTTTCTTTTTTAAAAAATCAGAAGAGAAGAGGAAAGAGGACCCACCACGAGCATTCGAGGAACCTGCCTCTAGAAACCCCAGTGTTGGAGCTGGATCCCCAGCTGCCCTGGGGGGAAGCAGGGCCTCAGTTCTCAGCCTCACCTAGAACAACGAGAGGAAAGACCAGCACAGGAGCTCCGTGGCCGGGTCCTTCTTGGGAAGTGAGCAGGAGGAGTTGCTCAAAGGGCTATCTGAATGCAACCCAAACCCACTGGAGAGACAGAGTCCGGCCTTCTGGAGCCCACAGCCAGAACCAGCTGAACTGAAAGGCAGGGAGGAGAGCCTCGGCTCAAACTGCTGTCCCTGGGAGCTGGGTTCTCTGCTTTTCCCATCATGTCCCTTCTCTTCCCAGGAATGAGACGCAGGGGAGAAGCCTCTTTATGCTCCGCCCTTTCAGGGTGCTATCGCTGCTGCCCTATTTGGGATCTTGGCCTAGTCTCAGCTCCAAAGGGCATTTTGTGGAAATGACATTGAATTGAACATGACACTAGATTGCTCTCAGACATCTGCTTTCATCAGTAAATGCTCCCCTTCCAAAAAAAAAAGGCAAAAGAAGTAAAACAAAACCCACTTCCCCATTCTCTAGAGTTTGTGAAAGCCCCTGTCCCCCCTCCCAATTTTCAGTCTAACTAAAAGATTTATATACACACAACAAAAATTGTCTTAAGAGCAAACCAAACTTTGGCTTGGGGAAAGAAAAAAAAAAAACAACTCAACAACAAACCAACCTAAAAAAAGAAAGTGGCCGATGGACTGGCCGTCTGGTGCCCCCGAGCTCTAGCTACTCCTGCAGAGAATTAGGAATAGCCCTCAGGCCTCTCCCAGGCTCTGCATGTCCCTGGCTGCCCTTCTCCTAGGAAGGACTGAGGAGGAAGGAGCGTTGGAAGGACCACCCAGATAACTGCCCACCGGGGTGCCCAGCCCCAAGCAGCCTCGTGCGCCTTCAGGCATGTGGTTAGCTAACAGCCTGTGCTGTAGCAGGAGCCAAAACAAACCCCAAAAGCTCCACCTCTGGACCGCTCCCATATGTGGCCTTCCTCTTGGGTGGAAAGTCACCCTAGTACCACTGGGGGAAGGCTTGGGAGCCATCTGACAGACCAGGACCTTTCCTATTTCGCTAATGCCTTACAGTTTGAGAATGCTGCAGAGCACCCGACTCCACCGGTTAGTTAGCTAACAGCTGGAAGGCAAGCTATTTCTCACCTGACAGGTATAATTTGTCCAACTGAGACCAGATATCAAGAACAACACCTCGCTGCCAATGGTCGTTGGACCTCTCTTCCTGGCAACATTCAAGATCCCTGCTCTCAAAAGTCCTTCTTCCCCACTGGAAGGAAGGAAGGAACTCCGGGGGCCAAACTGGACATCCTGTAGTGTTAATGCTCACCGAGCAGTCCAGGTGCTCAGTTCTGTGTCTTTGGGGGATAGTGAAAGGCTAGGGGAATGGCCACCAGGACTCAAGACTGTGGATTCAAGTGACTCACTCCGAAAGGCTCTGGAAGATGGAAATTCCTATGGCTTTAGAACTTACACAAAGCGCCCCGGCCTGCCCTTCACAGGCCCTAGTTACCAGAGGGGGCTCCAGGGATGGTTTTGTTGGCCTGTGACATCTTGTGCTTCATCTTTTCCAACAGACTATTTTCCTGACTTAGAAGAGGTGGTGAGGGTGGCGGGGCGGGATTCTCTCTGAATGAGAGTCATCAATCAGAGCAACCTTGCGGTCCTTTCCTTCTAGCTCTCCCCCTCCGGCCCCCTTTTGAAGTGACCACTCTAACCCTCATATTCCTGGATCTAAATACATAGAAACCAACACCTAGTCCTTCGTCCCTGGGCCCTAAATTCCTGGTATTGGTAGATATGGAAGCAAGGGCTTAAGAGAAGGAGATGGGTGAGCTGAACCGAGACCAAAGTAGAAGGCGGAATGAGCCCAGCAGCACTGCCGGGATTACAGGAAAGGGAAGAGAAAAAGAACAGTTTCCACACTCCAGAGTTCCTCCTAAGGTCTGTTTCCTAACGAAGAAACCTTTTTAAAAATTACCCGCAGCCTAGCTAGGGCAGGTCTGGTGAAATCGGTGCCAATCAGCCTTGTCTGTGCGTTATCAACAATGGTCATGAATAGCACTGGATGGATATCAGCACTGAATGGAGAAAAAGGAGAAGGGACGGGGAGAGAGGAAAGCATCCGTGTTACTCTCCTCCCCGCCGCCCCCTCAGCATGTGCATTCCAGCCACAGTCCATCAGGATTGCCCACCAAAGACCAGAAACACAAAAGGCTAAGAGTCGGGGAAAGGAGGGAACAGAGCCTCTTTCCCCGCTGGCCAGTCCCACAACGGCTTGCTGGTCGCACCAGACTCACTCGGCAATTCTGCCTGTTCACTTCTGATTCATTGAATGGGTCACTTTCTAAAGTCTTTCCTTCCTCATTAACTGCCTCTTCCGTGACTGGCAGAATAAGCTACGCGTGGACATACAGACATGGAAATGCATTGTTTTTTTTTTTTTTTTTACCACAGTTAAAAAAAAAAAAGAAAAATGCACAATCTTTGGAACAAAAGAATTAAAGGCAGAAATTTAAAGGAAAAATACATATTCAAAGAACATAGTGAGGTATAAAAAAGTATTTTCTCTTTTTTTGTGGTTTTTTTTTGTGTGTTTTTTTTTTTTTTTTGTTTTTCCTCTTCATCTTGCTATAGAGTTCCTCTAGGAGTACATATTGCAATAGCCAGGCCTCATGAACAGGGGGCTGTCCCGTCTGCGGGGTCACGTCACTTCAATAGGGGGCAAATCGGCTGTAGCCACCTCGGTATAAACTTGCCTGCAGGAATGAAAGGGAGACAGAAAAAAGACAGCTGAGAAGGGGCCTCAGGAGAGAACCTGGAAAAGGTGTGTTAGGAAGGGCAGCTTCCTACAGAACCCAAGTCAACAGATCCCACCTGGTGTCTTCTGACAAGGTCAGGAAGCCTTTACACTGCGATGCTGAAACCAAAGTCCAATAAATTTACTGCCAAATCGATGTTCCCAAGGGATAAGTGAGAAAGGGACAAGGCACCTGTTACCTTTCGTGCAGATTTGGGACATTAACTTTGTACAGAGGTTAGGGCAGGAGAGGTCTTCTGAGGGGGGCAGGTCAAGTGCTCACAACTGTCCATCACCTGCCAAGGTCCCAAGTCTGCTTATCTCAGCTGGGTACATGTCCTCCCTCTCTTCGCTTCTCCTCAAGACACCCATGCTCATGCCTGGCATTTACAAAGCACTTTGGTGTGTAGCCTGTACGTCGTCCTGCCTCAGGCCATGTCTCAATGAACGCCACCAAGTCAGGTCCTCTCTCTCCTTCAGAACCGGTGCTGACTCCTCTATGTGTCTATCCCTGGGACCTTTATTCACCTGACCCTCCTGAATCAAACGCTTGAGGAAATGCACCTTAGGTGGGCCCATGAGCCCAGGCAGGGTTCTGGAAGCTTCCGACACTATGTGAAGCATGACTGCTCCCCTTGCCTGAACGGATCGGGACCCTAGCAAGGACCTTTCTTCTCATCAGATATGGTTCAGGTCCCTGATGCTCCCTCTCATGCATCTCTGGTAACCTAGAATAGAAGCTTAAGTGGGCAAAAGCCAGGTTTCCTCTCTCAGTTCCTTTTTCTGAGGCTCACAAGACGGCCCTTTGAAGTCTTCTAGTTCACTCTTCGTGCTCATTTCTCTTTCAGTCTCTCACAAGGACCACAATCTCACAGATGCAGGAACTGGCCCCACATCTTTGGTGATGATTCAGTGATGAGGGCTCAGGTGTTCAGGGCCATGCCAATGCCCTTCCCTGTCCAAAGTTCACAGAGCCCAGAGTCAGCTCCATGTCAAGATGAGGCTCTGTGGGAGGCACTTTATTAACCTGCTGCCTTCCTGTAAAAACAAACTCACCACTTTGTGCTAACTCTGTGCCTTCCAAGGAACTCCCCAGTTTTATTTTGGTCAGAGCTTTGGTTGCTAATTAAAATGCCAGCCTCTGTCACAAAGAGGAAGCATCATCACACAGCTTCCCCCTGCGCCTTGGACATTATCCATCCTGACTCAGAAAGCCCCTGAGCCCTGGGGGGACCCTTTGCGATAATCTCCTAGTGGGCACAAACTCTCCCCAAGGGGCACAGAAAGTCTAGATCTACCATGTAAACGACAAAAGGAATGCCACAACATGGGAGGCAACACAAAACACCATCTTGTTTCCTTTCTTCCTTCCTCACAATGATGTACCCTCCTCATCATCTCCTGCTGCATCTACGTGGCCCACTGGGCTCACCCCCAACACAGACACAAAGGGGCAGCAGGAGGTACATTTTCAATAACTCGCCTGGCAAGGAAGTAAAGGCTTTTCCTGTTACCCACTGAATCTTTTACCACCCTGGATCTTTTGCACCTTGTAAAAGAAAGAGAGGAAGAAAGGAAAAGTCCAAAAGAAGAAAAGCCTACTTACCACAGCGCCAACTCCGTAGCTAGCGGCAGGGGCAAGGGCATGGTAGGGGTCTGCTGTATAAACCCTGCCATAACTGAGGAAGAGAAAAACAATCAGTCCCTTTATAGAGTGAGAGAGATCTGGGTCAATGCTATGAAGAGTGGGTTTGGGCCCTATATATACGAGAGCGCCGTGGGCTGAGGTGACCACATCGGACCAATCTTGGCCAGAAGGAAGCTACCTATGCTTCCCACTCTTATATGTGTTTTGGAGAACGCTGGGGTCCTGGCGATGAGATGTGGATTTGGGGCTCAGGATCAAAGGGGGAATAAAGGAAGGAGGATGGATCAGAAGTCCTCAGGCTAGGAATCAAGCGCTCTGACACTGGGGTATGGCAGAAGTTGAATGGACCAAGCCCTTTTCTGGAGGCAGGGAGGGAAGACTGGGCCCTGGTTCTGGATGGAAGGGCGGGCACTCTCAGCATCACCTTCGAGGCGACGGCCCCAGCTCTCGCTACGTACCCGTCGCTGTAAGCGGCTGCGGCTGCGGCAGCGGCTGTGGCTGCTGTCGCGGTAGCAGGTTGTGCATATCTGTAGGCTGCATATCCACCCTAAAGGAAAGAAAAGAACTGACTTTACAGAGACCTCTCCCCACAAAGGGGCAGATACATACACACGCGCACACACACACATACACACGAGACCACACACACCAAGGAAAGGAAATGTTTCAAGCTGCATTCGTTCCCATGTTTTCCTTCTAGCAGAAAAGTCAGCTTCACTCTAGGCTTGGCTTTGCCCTCTTTCCTGGCGGCACTGACTCCTTACAAGAACAAAGTCCATTCATGGAAGAGTTATCTCCTTGTCTTTGTTCCAGGTTTGGGCAGGGGGATACTGGTGAGAAGTACGACTCCTTCTCCATAGAGAAACTTCGATGTGCAGAAGAGAGGTGCCAGATGTGTGTGTGTGTGTGTGTGTGTGTGTGTGTGTGTGTGCGTGTGCGTGCACGCGCATGTGAGACACAGAGAGACAGAGATAGAGAGATGGGGAGGAAGAGGGAGAGATGGCAACCATTTCATTGATCACAAGAAAGGCTTTGAACAGGGCTTTTGAGAGGGATAGACTGGTCTCCTCCCAAACATAGGGAAGCAGGGACATGTTTCAAGTGTCTATTCAGCAGGCACACAGGTGACACTCTATCTAAGGTGATCTTAAGCTCTGTAGAAGAAATGTGGGCACTTTGGTAAATAAACTTTCAAGAAAGGGTTCTATCACAGCAATCTCAAAATTGTGGATGAGTTTCCCAAAAGCTGACAACCATGTGACCACCCCCAGGGCTGGCCCTGGACTGAATCCCCAGCAGGCTCCCACTGGCCCTGGAGGCAATCGCTCAGTTGGCTGATTTTATCATCCACCACTGATTCCCAAATGCTGGGGAAAAGCGACTCCCTGGAACTGGGGAAACTGGAAGGACAAATTATGTTTGCTGCCCTGCTTTTCCAATTACACTGTTAATCAGCACACTGGTGAGAGAGACTGGATTCAGACAGACTCATTCTCTCTGAGCCTCCTGTGAGCGGTTCAGGTCTAAAAAAGCAGAGAGGACTATTTCCCCAAACGTTCCCTAGCAGATTCTAACGAGCAAATATCACGGCTTTTACGGAACATGAGAACAAAATGCAGTTTGAAACAAAAAGCTTCCTGTCATCATCTCTTAACTGAAGTTTATCCTCAAAAGGAAGAGGGGTAAAGACTGGGTTCAGGCGTGGGAGGGAGTATGGCACCACGTTTATTAATCACATTAAGAACTAAGCATGCTGACATCTGGAGCTAAAACAACCAGCAAAATCACCACGTTCAGACTGTATTGGCTAGACTATCTATCCCAGCATTCTCTTGGGACAGCCATTTGCCCTAGGCGCTACCACAAGCTTGGTGAAGTCACAGCCTCGATTACTAGAGCGTGCAGCCACAACGACCTGGTATTACGGAGACAGTCAGTCACCACTTGAGTTAACATTCCATCCCCTAACAACTGGCCCCTCCCCAGCCCAAGGAGAATAGGAAGTCCTGCCCACCCTAGCCCCTGGTCCCACACCACAATGTTAATAATTATAACAAGCAATAACCCATCTGTTATATCAGAGAAGGGAACAGAGACTCCACTGAGAGATTTAGAGTGAGGTGCTAACATGTCTTCAGCTGACTGCACGAACAAACAAACAAAAAGAGGAGAAATAATCCATTGGCTATATGGAGTCATGAAATAGCTGATGTGTATTGCTTTGAACCATGCACTGATGCAAAAATGAAGCAACCATTAATAAAAATCAAAAAGGACATAGGTATTTACACACAATCAGACCTGTCCGATCTGAAGCTGTTTGCAGAGTCTATCTGTGCATGATTTGAAATAAAACAAAGAGTGGGAATTAGCATGGCCCAATCAAGTTTCCAGCGGAGTGGAACATGTGGACGGCTTCAGGGGACTCTGGGATATGAATCAAATGGGCCTGGCTGAGCCCAAGCCAAAGAGAAATGCCTTCTAAAAAGGGATGGCTTTCCCAATCCTTCGTCTTTCTTCCTGCATGCCTGCGGCTGCTCCATTTGAGAGCCAACCCTACAGTCTCACACTGTTTCCTTGGCCTGACCCTCTTCTCTCCGACATTGCGGGATGCTGTCCTGTAGGACTCCCAGGTAACTGTGACCCCTGCAAAACCTGCCCCCGGCTCTTTCCTGACCCACGGTTTGTTAAGTATGCCAAACTATTATTCTACACTAACTTCTGGGCTTTTCCCACCATCCCCTCACACAAGTAACGCTGTACTTGTCTCCATTCAGAAGTGGCCCTTAACACCCCAGACTTTGCCTCCACCTCTAGCTTTGCCAGAGGGAAGAAGAGGGGCAGTGTGGTAGCACTGCAGAAAGAACTGTGTGCCCACCCCTGTGACCCTGGGGGAAAGTCACTCCACTTCACTGCCTCAGTTTCCTCATCTGTAAAATGAGGGAGATGGATGGCATCATCTGTAAGGCTCCTCTTAGCTCTTAATCCTATAAGCCTGAATTGCTACTCTTAGAGTTCCTGCCCATAAAGACCTCTGAGGTTGGGCACAGAGATCACATTTTAAATTTCCTTTTTACCTAATGACTGTTGTTCCCCAAGTTACTGACAAATGTCCCTTCCAGTCCAATGTCAGGGTTAAATCTAACCAGGATGAATATCATATGAAGGGCTCAATTTCCACCAAAGTAGAACCTTCCCAATATAAACCATATCTGAATATCCCCCTGTTGGGCCCATGGTTCTACCCCACCTTTAAATGAACTTTTTGTTTGCTTTTAGGTCTGCAGTGAAATAGGACTTTGGGAAGGGTGTGGTATCCAGACACCCTCCACTCCTTCTCCCTGCAGTGAGAGCCCTGGGGAAAGAGGTGGCTATTTGGAGGCCTACGAGCAAAAGGAGATCTTGCAAATCATGTCCAGGCTACACTGGGAGGTCAGGGAGACAGAAGGTGAAAGGGAAAACAAGAAAGGAGCTTAGGAAAGAGGCGCTTCCACCATGGACAGAATTGATCCTGGGTGTCTGGGAGGCTCCCTCGCAAGCTAAACGTGTACAAAGGGCCTTTGGGGTTGGTGCCAGGATTATGTGGCCACATGTTGATTTTCTGTAGCTCGTGAACAATGCCCACTGGAAATGGACAGTGCAGCTGTTAACAGAAGTTCAAACAGTTCTCCCAAACCAGAGGCACCAAGATATCTAGTTTGGTGTGGACTGGTTCATCCAAAACCCAAATAAATTATCTTAGAGAAGGGACTGGCTACGACCCACTTGGGTCTGTAATGCTTCTTATACTTAGGATCATGACATCAGAAGATGAACTAACTCACTGACAACACCCAAGAGGAAGGGTGGTCTGGTGGAAAGGGTGTTAGACTTGGGTTGGGGGAGACCTGGGCTAGAATCCTGGCTCTGACACAAGACTGGTGTGACCACAGGCAAGTCATTTCCCCCTGTCAGGGCCTCAGTGTCCTTGTCTGTAGAATGGGGACAGTAATTCTTCTACCCTCTGCTCCACAGGGTTACAGCAAGGGGCATTATTCTTTCCTATTACATCTGAGCCTTATGGCCAACCTCCAAACTAAGCAGACTCATGACTCTTCTCCTATTTTGAGCTCCCCATGCTATGACTAGACCTTCTTTCAGCTCATTATTACACACTAATCTCGCTGTCCTTCCTGAGAGACATGAGAAAGAAGAATGGTGAGGAGCGGAGTGTGCAGGTCTCCTGAATTCTACAGACCCTGCACCCCTGCACTATTGTGGGCAGAAACAGCCCACATGCCCCCTGAATTCTCACTGTGAGTGCTGATCTCAGGGGCTTGGGACCCAAAGTGTTTCTGGCCACTCCCTCGCCTTCCCACGCCCGTTCTCCTCCCTAAGAGGGGGACAATCGGGACTCTGGTCTGATGTGCTAAGACACCAAACAAAAGGGCAGGATCTAAAACACTGCGGATAGAGGTGAGTGATGAAGGGAAGGGGTGGCAGCGACGGGAGCGGGGGCCTTTTGGCTGCCTGGGCCCATTTTGTGGACGAGACGCGGCTCTGCGCAGTGCAGAGGCCACGTGCTCACAAGTCTCCACTGTCCAAAAAAAGCCTCTGTTCCCATCTCTAATGTGGAGCTGGAATGGTTAGTAGAATTCAATTTTTCCACTGCAATCCACAATCTGATTGGTTGGCAGGTCACACTGGCACTCCTACCTGAGGTATTTTAGCGCTAATGATTGGTTCCTGTAAGACTATTCTATAACAGAACACAGGGAGAGCAGTTCAAAAAAACACAGCTGTGGAAGGAAACAATCATACAAGCGGCCGCCAAGGGCCCAGCCAGCCTTTTCTTTTCCTGGATGCAAGCATGCTTTTCACGGACAGAGCTGAGTCTCTGGAGCAGTCTGCGGCCCAGCCGTGGGTGAATCAGGGGGAGTTGCTCTTGCCCTCCTGGCCCACTCCTGCCCACCTCCCTCCCGCCTGCCCCAGGGAGGGCCTTTCCAAAGCACAGACACATGGCTTGACTGGCCTCCAGAGGAGAAGGGATTGTAAAGGAAATGCTAGGCCTTTCAAGGGAAGAAGATGGTTCGCAGGGATGGTTGCCCCAGGATAGAAAAAGAGAAGGAAAAGAAGGTCCATAATTCAGATACTAAATTTATGACAAAGGAAAGCTGAAACAACTGAGGAAAAACAAAACAATCGCCCTGGCCTCTCCCCAAATCCCCTCCTCTGCCTCTTGTGTCCCTTTTATGACCTTGAGTGGCCACCTCATGAAGGCAGCCAGAAGGATCCCAAGACAAGCTTGCGCAGAGCAACCGGTAGCTTGGGAGATGGGGGAGGGGGGGCCTCATGGCGAGGCAGCACCCCTTGGCTCTTTTATCCAGTGCAGCCACAGTATCCTACTGACTTCCCTTAGCTGACCTCCTGGACCTTAGCCCACTGGCTCTGGTTTTATTCTCAGGGTTTCAAGCCCATTCTAGGATCTGTACACAAAGAGGTTCTAAGCCAGGGGTCTGTGAACTTGTTTTTAAAAAATATTTGGACACCTTTGAAATCCTACGCATTTGTTTTATGCATTGAAAGGGTAGGCCGGTTTCGCCAGACCACCTGTCCAAGGAGTCTGCTCTAACTGTGGCTCAGCGATGCCCATCTGGTCAGGGGGCAATCACATTGCTCAAGGAACAGCATCATCTGGTCCCAAGGACAGTTTTGTTGAGACTTAGAACAAAGGAGGTGAGAGGCTTCTGCATGCTGTCTGCACAGCAGGGTTAACCCAATGTATGCAGTGTTATATCTGCGGAGCTAGAAGAGGCCTCAGGCCACAGACTCCAATCTCTTCATTTTACAGAGGAGGAAACTGAGGCCTAGAGAGATAAAGGCACTTTAAGCAAATAATGGATAGCATTTAAGCAAATGTGTGCAGCAAACAGAAAATCTGAGAATTAAAAAAAATGTAAGAGGAAATTAAATTTATTAATATTTTATCTAAGTACCCAAATGTTAAGGCATTTGTCTCCATAGACCAATTTTGGGGGACTCTGTTGACGAACACAGGTGTTTCATGAAAATGTACATGTGGGAACATGGAAGAAGTCCTGTGTAAATGTGTACACAGTGAACTGAGAGCCTGGGCTTCAGGAGGGATCCGTTCTCCCTGACCTCAAGGTTCGTTGTGAAACAGAAAGGAAGAACACGAGACGTTTCTCACTGTTCTCCATGCTGAGAAGAGCAGAAGACACAGAAGAGTATGAACCTGGAGCAAGTCTGTGCACACAGATGTGTTGCGTGCGGCCCGTGCGGGTCTGCCTTGGAAGGCCACGCTGTGAGGAGTAAAGCTCCGCTCCACCAACTACCAGAGACAGCGCTCGCCATCTCTCTCTATCCAACTGAAGCCCGTCTTCCCAGCATTTTCAGCTATGCTATTCTAAAAGTCCATAATTTGTGACATCCCACGTTTGTCTGAAGGACTGGGCAGAGACAATCTTACACAAATATCCTGAATTCCAGAAAAGCCCAACTTGTTCTCCCTGAGTTATCTCCTAAGGTAAATTCTGGTTGACTCTAAAGATCCAGGGAAGACCCCAAGGCCTCAAAGAGTCAAAATACTGCCAAGGGGGCACGTTTCCCTCCTTGATCCATTATGACACAGTTCCAATTCTATCCAGTAAGAGGGTGGACCAGGAAGTTCTACGGACAAGGGATACAAGGTGAGAGGCCAGTCACACATGACATACATCCAGAAAAGACACCCCTGGGCTGAACCATCTCTTCACGACCAAATGTTTGCAAGGAAGGAAGGTGCTGGTTCTGCCACATTAAGTGTCCCTCTATTCCACTTCTTCTGAAGGACTTTAAAGGAAAGGGACGGCCTAGGGCTGGTCTGGCTTTCCTGGGGTCAAGGTCCAAACTGAAGGTTTTAAACGTATCACACTGACGGTATTATAATACCCTTGGACTCATCATGACTCTCCCAGTTTTCCTTCAATAGGGTCTCAACTTATCCTGTTAAACTTAGGGGAACATAAAGGTCTAAGGCCTTAATATCTACTGCACAAATCAAGACCGAAAATACTTAAAGAGGGAGAGAAACTGAATAGGAAGGAAAGAAATGGGAAGCAGAAAAGGGTAAGGAGGAGGAGCAAGGCTGAATCAGTCCTGTTATTTAGGTAGGCAAATTATACAAAGTACATAGGAGGAGGGAAGAGGATTTTTCAATTAGCTAATCATCCCTCAGGTAGCTTAGTGATCCAGAGAATGCCTGTGCATGAGGAAAGGAGAAGAAAATGTTCAGTGAACTGACCCTGGCAATCGATGATCAGGAAACCCAAAGGCTCAGGTCTTTTTTGCACCCAGGGGCAAGCGCAGGGACAGAGAAGCATGCTTGCATTCTTAACTATATAAATATCATTGTCTATGTCCACAAGGAAGAGGAAAAATCAAAGTAAATAAATTATATTCCAAAAAACCAAACCAAACCAAACCAACAGAAAAAAAAAGGCTGGCTCATCAGGGGTTGGGGTGAGAAGGCCCCGGTGTGTGTACTTACATAGAGGTCAGCACCGTAAAATCCGTCCTGGTAAACCACACTGCAGAAAATCCACACAAAAACAAGACCAAAAAAACAAAAGAACAGAAACACGTTCCGGTTATTGAGGACGGCAGCATGCACATGCGCTGTACACAGGCAGGTGATGTATGAATCCGCACCCTGGGCTATGGGGCTGGGGCGAGGGGGGAGACCTCATGGGCCCACACCTGTGGGGCGGGGGGCCTTAGGGTGTTCTCTGGGACATGCGAGGAAAGGGTGAAGTCCACAAAGCTGGGAAAAGGAAGCAGAATGTTCTGCAGGGGAAAATAAGGGTCAGACTCCAGGGGGAACCCCGTCACAGAGGTGGTAAAGTGAAAACACTTTTACCTAACTCCAAGATGTTCCGAATAAATACAATGCTATCAAGAACAAAACAATGATAAAGGCCTTTAGGAAAAGGGTTTTATGTGGGGAAAAGCTGAAATGCCCCCAAAGGGCTGTACTTATAGGCAAAGCAAGGTTCAGAATGACATTTAATATTTTGGTTTCAGTTTCGTGGCTACATTTAAAAATATCTGCTTTTGATATCCATACATCACCTGCTTTTACCCTGCACATTAGACATGCGATAAGATTTGGCTGATCACACAAGCATGCAAAGTATTATTATTCAGCATTTTAAAGAACCAATGCAACACCTCAGAAAAACAAGTCAATCAATTCTGACCAAAGTAAACAGGGAAATGTAATTAAAAACAAAACAAAACACAACCAAAAATACCCACAATGCATTGCTTTCACAAGCAGAGGTAATGAGCTAAAAAAGGTTAAGGTGATTGGTTCAAGGTCCAAGGATTGAGAGGTGCAGTGGGGACCCCAGCTAGTAACCACAGAACCCAAAGAGGGAAGGAGCTACAGGAAGGCCTGCAGGGTCATTTCTGACTATGTGGCTTTCTCAGGGCAGCGAGGAGGCCGGGGTGCACCCTGGAGACAGACTGAGAAGGCGGCAGCTTGCCAGAAAGAGCCCGGGGACTCGTAATGACGGATGGCGCTGATTTTGTTTCTGGGCAACGTAAGACTTGTGTTTTACAAGTGAAATTCGAACCTTTTAAGGTATTTGTGTGTGCACAGAGACTTGCCAAGACTCTCACTCTTGGGCCAGGAGGAAGGAGACACAAGCCTGGGCTCTCCTCTTCATGCCTTGGACACAAGCAATGCCAGTGTCCAGGTAAAACTACAGAAGGCGGGAACACTCCCTTGTGTACATAGAGGCATAGGCGAGCACAGCAGGGCGGGCTTCCTGTGGCCAGAACAGGCGGAGCTCTATTCCCTGCTATGGCTTGAGCGCCACAAGTTGGAAGCAGAGAAGAGCGGGGTTCAGGGGTCACGGGAGAGAGAAAGCATGTCTGACTGCTGCTTCTGCCTTTGGTTAGGAGGCCCCGTCACTACATTCTCAGCTTCTGAGGGTCTGCTCACCTCTTCCAAGCTAGTCTACGATCTCTCCGTTTCAAAAGTCAGTTCAGAGTTTACACCGACAAGGCGACATGAGTCTAAGCTGCTTTATGGGGCACAGGTGAATAGCCTGTAAGCGGAAGGCTAGAAAACGGCACGGCAAGGGAATCAGACGGGACCAACTCCAGGGAAGCATCTCTGGCTGTCTCTAGGAAGGGGGTTCAGGAAAGCCTTCACAAATTTCTTATTTCAGAGAAAGGTGGTGGAACCTGGATGAGGCCCAGGATAAGACGTGGCCTCTATTTCATCATCCCTGGGAAATCTAACCAGTGATATTTCAAGATTCCATCTGGGAAGTCACTACGAGTGTCATCCAGTTCTTAAGACAAATCCAGGTAGGTCACTGTCATCTAATGTAGGAAGTCTGTTTCATAAAAGAGAAATATGAAATCGGTGTCTGCTGTCAGGCACTCAGGTCAGTGGGATCCAGCATAAACATCACCTCCCGTAAGAGAAGATGGAACCCTTGAGAGCTCAGGCTTTCAGAAACGACCTATTTCATGGACTAAAAATGAATTATCCATTTAAGAGAGTGAACTCAGAGGACTATTAAAACAAAATGTTCCTAGCAAGCTCCATGTGGGCGGCTTCACTTTGGAAATGCAATGATGATGACAAAAGACACAGCCCAGAAACTCATTCTCTAGGTAGCAGCACAACTAAAAGACTTCTTGTGTCTTCTCTGAGTGCTTCCTGGCGAAATACTATGTGTCTTTTATTAGTTTCTTTGGAAAGAGAGGATGTCAGGGGCCAGAAGTTAGAGAACCAAGTTTAGACAACAAAAGATAAAAAAATAAAGTTAGTAGTAGCAAAGGATGGAGACGGTGAAATGCATGGTAACGGAACCCTGGAAAGCTGTAAATCAAAGGCCATTTTAGTGACTTTGTGGCAGCTTCTTTTAAACGGCTGCTGTGGCCGGCCCACATCAAGGTGCACATGTGCTTATCTAGCACTGGGCAGTGAATTCTGTCACCAAGAGATGGTTTTACTATAGAGGAGGAAGACTGACTGTTGTTCCTAGTTCCACTGACCCATTTGGTCCTAGCTTGTAGAAGACAGACAACAGTGGTGACTCTTGCCCTTGACATCCATCCTTCTGGCCAGGCAGCAGACAATAGTGCCGGAGCTACTACGTGAACTCCTAAGTGAGAACTGGAAGGACCGTCCCTTTGTAGGTGGGGACAAGATGAGCATCCTAAGTGGTGCATCCATGAATCCAAAAGAGAATGGCCTTGGAGTAAACTAACTTACAAAAAGCACTCTACCCAAAACCCCAGGCTCTTTAAACTTGGCATCAAGAAATAACCCAAACAGAACCTGCCACCTTCACTCCTTCCTCCCAGCTCAGGAACAGTGGATTTATTTGTTGCTAGGGAGACCTTCCAGTGTGTGAGGCACCTTCCACACAAAAAAGTCAAAGGGTAAAGGATGCTCAGCCACGTCAGGAATGTTACCATCATTCAGAAGGCACCTGGAGTTTAATTCCTCCTACTTCTCCCTTTCCCTTCATTCAAATGGACTTGGTTGATCTTTGAATTAAACTCTTTTAAATATGTCTCCTACAAAGAAAGCAAACTCACTGTGGGTAGCTGGCTCTGCCACTCCCCATGTAGGCAGCACAACCCAACGGGATGCCACGGAACAGGCTCAGCCACAAGACGGTGTGGGGGAAAGAGTGGAGAGCAGATGCATCTGTGGCCTACTGCCGCGAGCGCTCGGTTTCGTTTTCTTCAGACACAAGTGTTATTCCACAATCGTGCGATGCTAAGTGAACACCATGCTAACACACTGCTGGTAAACACCAGAAGGCAAGGGCTACTGCCTTAAGCCTCTACCAAGATGGCTTAAGGTTATCCAAATGAAGTTTTAAATAACCAATTGACAGTGAATTTAGGTTTGTGTTTTGATGATGTCACATTCTGGTTCAGACCATCCAATCACCACATTTTGCTAAGTACAAGACACTGTGTTAGGAACTGTGCAAGAAGGCTCCAATTCATGTCCAGTTGCCTACTGGGGGAGTCCATGTGATTGTGGAAGCCGGTGCTTACCCTGGATAGGCAGGGATGGCTGTTGGAGGTACCGCTCGGACTGCACCATACACTGTCCGCCCTCGGCCCCTTAGGTGGGCTCCTCTGAATGCGGCTGCCGTGGTGGCTGCAGTGGGGTAAGGGAAGCCAGGAACTGCAGGGGAAGACAAGGAACAAGATGAGAGAACTCCTAGCTTCTCTTCACTAGGAGAACATCTGCCCATCCTGGAAGAGAGCCCAGGCACAGCCCACAGCTTCTCTGCAGAGACGCTATGGACAAACAGCATCTCTTGTGCCACTCTGGGGCTCTTAAGGAGATAGAAAGAGAGGCCCCACCTGAAAAAAATGAAGGTTTCCATGCCAAACCATCAAAAACAGTGAGCACCTCCACCCCTGGTGTGCCACGGCTGGCACACCTTGGTGAACCACAGGCCAGAAGCAGGAGGACCTCCTGCTACCGCATGTGCCAGGAGAGGATTTGGGGAGGCCTTTTAAACCAGACTTAGCATGAGCTCTTTGACTGGCTAATGACGACGCTTGTTGACATCCACCACATTACATACTCGGTAACAAACTCTCATCAAAAGAACCCTTTTTTGCATGTAACTAAGTGGCTTGACAAGTATTTCCTCTCATTAATGCTCACAATATCCCTCTGAGATAGACAGGGGTCAGAAACCTTAGCTTCACTCCTTAAGGTTAGTTCAAACCCCGAAAAGAGGAGGATGCAGGATGCCCTCCTCATCTGCCCTTTCGAAAGGCAGAAATTCATGCAGGGGCCAGTTTATGGGAAGCTAATTTTCTTCTAGCAAACACGTACGGGTATGAGATTCATGGCTCCTGGCCGCTGTTCGATCACACTGTATGCTACCGAAAGGTGGTTTAGGGCAAAATGACATTTAAGTTCCAACAGAACTGAGAAAATTGATAGCTCCAGAAAGTCATTGTGAGACAAGAAGCAAACATAAGCCACTGAGGACTGCAAGCCCGGGGTAGGGGATAGTTTTAGAGTGTGTGAGCTGCACCAAGGAGATGGGTTCTAGAGACCTCTCAGCCACCACGCTCATCCCCCCTGCCCCCACCCTCCCAGGCCTCTGGTTGCACATGCATCACAGGTGGGCTCAGTGCCAGGGGAAGCTCATGGGGGGTGTTACTTACTGATGAGCGGAATGTAAGTGTTGATCCCCCCCCTTCCCGACAGGGGCACTGCCGCATCATTGCCTAGCGAGACATCTGCTTGAAAACTGGAGGCTGCTTTTGGGTTTAAAAGAACAAAGGAGAAAGAGGGCAAGAAACATGAGAAAGAGGGAACACACCTAGAACCAGCAAACACCACTTCGAGCAAAGGGCAAAAAGGGGAGTGTGGGAGCCCTACCTGCATATAACTCAGGGCCATAGACGGCTCCAACCACTGGGCTCAGCTTCCAACCTGAAATGGCAAAGTAGACAGGCATTACGGGAGTCATAATGAGAAGGTTTTAAGACTTCCAACGCACTTCACACAGATTATCTCATCGAACCTGTAGTGGAGGCAGGACAACTGTGATCCTCATTCCCATTTTATAGATGAGGGAACTGAGGTCCCAAGAAGTCAGGTGGCAGTGAGCACTGAGAAGGGCACCAGGAACATGGGGAAAGGAGGTCCCTGCTGTGCCATGTGTTCCTAGGTCAGGCATCTCGATCGATGCTCTGCCACAGGGAAGCTCCCCGTGCTTTGTTTTCACGCACATCTGTGACTGCACCATAAGGCAGACTCCTTCCGCCAATGACAACAGCAGCTCGTCTCTAAGGCTAAATGCTGTGTCTGTCCCGGTGTCTTCTTGATGCCATGCCTGGCACAGTGAGCCGGAGAAGGGAAAAGGGCAAGCCTCCTGAACTCCTGGGCCCCGTCACCTCCTCGTCAGCCTGGAGCTCTGCCTGCCCAGACCACCCATGCCCTCCGAACAGGGGCTGCTTCCCGTCTGCGAGTCTGCTGGCCCACCCCCAAGGGGAGCGATAAGTGGGAAGCACTCTACGGATACTGAGGGAATGGAAGAAAGAAAAGATCAAAGGATCTCATCTGTACAGCATCAACGAGGGCATCATCGAAAGCATCATCTTCAAACAGGACTCCACCAAACCAGTCCTCTATCTTCCACAGGCTCTTTTTTTCCCCTCTCAGTCTCCTATATTCTACTTGGACAGATTCTGGACTCCTACCCATGACATCGCAATTCAGTTCAATAAATCTTTACTAAATACCTATCATGTGCAAGCTCTTTGAAAGGTCAATATGGTCTCTGCCTTTGGTGAATTTACATTTTAATGGGAAAATAAGACACATACAAAAAAGTGTGATTAAAAAGTAGGATGGTATCAACAACCAAGAGACCTAGGCAAAGAATGTCTAGAATGAGGAAATCACTCTCAGTGGGGGTTTGGAGAGATCAATCAAAGAAGTATTGCCTAAGCTGGGCAGGGAAGGAAAAGGATCTTGACAGGTAGAGAGATGCAGAAGGGCCATGTTCTAGGTATGAGGCTCAGTAGATGTGACTGCGTGGAGATGAGACACGGGAGGATGAGCTCAGGAGACAGGAGTACATGAAGGGAGGAGACCAAGGTAACGGGAAAGGTCGGCTACAGCTGGACAGGCAAACTTCCCTCTTTGCTTAGAGTGATATTTTTGAATACATGAAATTAAATATGTAGGACTACAAAGGAAACCAGTTATTTTGAAATATGGTACTGAAACATTTTTTAAGAACCCTAAGTTCATGGAGCACCTGAGCTACGTTCTGTTGGGCCCTAAATACCGGATTCAGGAGCCTACGTTCTGTCCCATCTACAGCGAGCAGTCATGGAAGGCTCCTGAACAGCAGAGTAACAGAAATGGAGCTGTGCAGGAAGATAATGCTGGCCCTTGTGACGGAAAAAGTAGAGCAGGGCAGTCTCCTTGGAGGAGGCTGTGAGGTAAGAAAGGACCTGAGAGCTTCCTGTGGGTGGGGTGGGAACAGGGACAAAACGGAAGAGATGGTGACAGAGAAGGAGAGAGAGCCCCAGACGCCTCCAGGGCTCTCGTCTCCAGGTCCCCTGATCTTGAACTCCACTCCCCCAGCCTTCCTGATGGACGGTCCTTCGTCTTTTTGTGCCTGCTTCATCTCTAAATTGAGGGCTGAAACTACATGACTTCTGAGTCAGCTCTAAGAGCATGTAATGCAAGTTAAGTCACATAATTTCCTCAAATTCCAATAGAAATTGTGATTATTTTCCTGCAATTCACTAAAAGGTAAAATTTCATTGAAAAAACTCAAAAAGGTATAGACAAACTTGTCGTATTGATCACAGCTTCACAAAAAATGGGCCAATATCTGGGGTGTGTAAATTCTTCTCTTTATAAAGATTCTTCTCACCCTCTCCTTCCCCCTTATAGCCACAGGGGAATGCCAAAACTGGCTCTTTCTGGCTTCCGCATCACCTTAGTTTTAATAACAAAGACTTTCTTCTCTCCTCACGAATGTACCAGTCTCTGAGAATCACCAATGACTGGGAATCAATAACTGTGCTTAACACTGGTTTACAAAGCCCTTACACACAGACACACACACTCTGAATCAATTGTTAGGACTCCAACCAAAGGGCCCAAGAGACTCAAGCCCCTTACTGGCTACCTGTGGGACCTTAGGCAAGTCACTCAGCGTCCCTAGGCCTCAGCTTCCTCCTCTGGGGAATGGGGGTGGAGTGGGTATATGGACTGGCTTCCAAGTTCCCCCACACCTCTAAAGCGATGACCTTATGAGCCCTATGGCACAAGCAAGGGAGTTGTTATTAGGCGGCTTCTTGGCCATATCCTGAACCTCCGGGGCATCCAGTTTCTTCATCTGTAGAATGTGGATGCAGCACTGGATTCAATTAAATTGCAGAAGCATGTAAGAAGCACCCATTGCCTGTCGAGGGCAACGTGGAAGCCCCTAAATTGGGCAGGAGAAGCAGCCCAAAGGCTACCAGCAGAGAGGAGAACCAGAAAGGGAGGTTGGGTATTCACAGATTACAAAGGGAAGACTGCATAATGGCTCCTGAGCTGGAGCAAGTCCTCCAGGACAGGGGGTGGGGTGGGGGTGGGGAGCTGCTAGGAGGTACTACAGCGACCTCCTATAGACACTTTATGAGAGGACAAGGACAAGATAAGAGGGGGTGGACGAGCTGCAATCTGTACCATCACTGGGATATATATTTTCCTTGGCAGATACAACTTGTGCCCAGGTAAGTGTAAGATAATTGAGGAAGGAAACAGTAGTACCAATTCAGGAGAGATGAGGAAAGGCTTCCTGGAGGAGATGGCATCAGAACAGAGACCTGAGGGAAGCTCAATATTCTAAGAAGTCGAGGTAAGGCACATTTCAGGCCTGTGCAAAGGCATGGAGACAGAATGGGGGACAGAGTAGAGTGGGGCTGGGGCATCAAGCAAATGGAGGGGAATAACATAAAATGAGGCTGGCTAGCTGGGCTGGAAAGAGACCATGGAGAAAAGAGAGCTGGGCAGACTCTCCTGGCTTCGAAGAGCTGTGATGCTGGTCACTTTGTAGCTAAAGACACAGGAACTCCAGAGAAATCAGAAGCGAGCTTACAGTGATGGATGGGGCAGTAAGAGGTCTCAGAAGAGCCCTAAGGAATAAGGCCCACTGCCAAATCCTTCCTTCTACAGTAATCTTAACTTGTATACATGGAGTGCTTCAAAGTTCACAAAATCCTCTATATGTATTATTGTCTTAACATTCATCTATTTTGTGTGTTCTTTGTGTATGGCTTATCCCACAGTTTCATGAGCCATCAGAAGCGCCCTAGGAGCTCCTGGCCTTTCCGTTGGCCCTGACACTGAACTTCCCTGTATTCTCCTCCAGTGACAGCAGCAACTCCCGTAGAGCCTTTTCTGTTTGTATCGCAGTGCTCAAATGCTCATCCGTCCATTCATCTGAGCTGCACAGTAACGTTTTTAGCTCAGACACTGACACATTATCATTCCCATTTTACAAATGAAGTAACTGAAATTTGGAGAGTCACGTGACTTGCCAATAAAACTGTCTTAAAATAAGCCTCTGTCATCTCATAACTTAAAACTTAACTTTAACTTAAAAAGGTGTCCCAATTATTGCAGTTCCTTTGTGCATACAATAGGCTACCGTGCTTATGTCCAGAAGCAGGCTGGCTTAAAATAAGTTTCAGCTTTACCAATAGGCCTGAAACTTCCACATTTTGAATGTTTATAATAAAGATGGAGATTTAGCGAAAGGCTGCTAGGTAACTAGGAATTCTGTCACCAAAAAAAATTCCACAGGTTCCATTTTCCCATTAGCTCACTCTTTTGTTCCCCATCCATCTTTACACCATGTTCTTGCACTCCAACCAGAGCCCAGTACTTTAGCTCCCAGCCTAGGTCCTCGGGTTCCTGACTAGGGAGACTTGATCATTTCTAGCCCAAACTGTTCCCTGGCCATCTTAACACTATGTCACTGGGCCCTGTGCTTTTTACCTCTAGCTCTGGAAAAAATCATCATCTCAACCTGAATATTCCTGGAAAGGTCAAGGCAATGAACTCCTACATGCTTCCATTCACCATCCTCTTGGCTTACAATACCCCCCTCCTCCATCTGTGTTGTCTGACCCATTAGAATATAAGCTCCTTGTGGGCATGGACTGTCTTACAGCCCTCACTGACAGAATGCTACACTGGGGGGGGGATACATACAGTAGCAACACTTATGGCTCAATTTCCATATGTTCATTTGTATTTGAGCTCCTAGTACGGCGCACGTGCTCAATGCTTAATATGCGCTTTTCTTCCTTCTTTTCTTCCCATTCATTCTCACTCCTGCAGAGCAGCAGAGAGGTGAGAGGACAGACCAATGGAGCAAAACCTTGAAGAGGAGAGGCTCTGACTGCAGAATCAGACCCGACTGTCACCAACATGGAGGCTTAATGCTCCCTTTTGCTCTGTGAAACCACATGGCCTGGTCCTCAAGCACTGAACAGGTCTTTCACACTTCTAGAATCTTAGCTGATTTGGGGTCACCTGTCCAGAAGACCCCCAACACTGACCCTCTACATCAGATAGAAGGAGAGGAAATGAATTGGGTAAACAGCTTCTAGGTCAAGGTTAGAAAGGCTAATTCCTCAGTCGGCTCTTGGGATGGATGCAATGATTACGTCTCCTTGCTTTCACTGTTTCAATGCTACCAGCAGCCCAACAAATCCACAGACGTCAATGACACAGTGGCCATAAACTGTAATCACAGTCTTCAACGAGGACAACGCAACACCTGCCCTAGCTAACTACAACTTCGGCAAAGGTCAACCAACCAAAACGTATTAAACACATACCGTGTGCTGGTGCTGGGGATAAATGACAAAGAATGAAGCAGGCTCTGCCTTCAAGGAGCTTTCACTCTATGGGGCATCATGTGTGCATGCACACACAGGTGTGTCTATACGTGCTCACATAACATGCATCATAAATACATGTACAATCAATACAAGGTCATGAGGGAGGGAGGGCACAAGTGGCTGCAAGGAATGGACAACACAATGTAAAAGGTGATGACAGCGCTGCTTCCCGAAGGGGAGAAGGGATTCTACACACTGGAAGGAGTGCGTTCCTTGGGAGACGGCAGGTCCAAAGGTATGGAGACAAGAGATGGGGTTCCACGTGGGAAAAACAGTCAGCCTAGCTGAACTGAAGAGTGCGGAAGAGTAGTCAGTGTATAATAAGGTTGTGAAGCATGTTAAAAGCACCCCCAGAGGAACTCATATTGGACCCTAGAGGGAAGAAGGGGCCCCTGGAGTTCAGTGAGAGTAAACAGTTAGATCTGCGTTTAAAGAAAACGACCCTGGCGGCAGAGTGGAGGAGGGAGACCAATCAGGCCACTGTGACAATCTTTGTGGGAAGTGATGAGGTGGGGCTGTGTGCATGGGGAGAAGAGCCAGATGCGAGGGACACGGGGACAAAAGCTGCAAAGATCTGGCGATGGAGGGAGAGTGAGGAGTGCAGAGTCAAGCTGGCACGACAAACCTGGGAGACAGGAGGAGGGTGGTACCTTTGAGAGGACAAGTTCATTTTAGAGGGATGGACTTGGTGGAAAAGAACATGAGCTCTACTTTACACGGGTGGAGCTGAGATTCTCAAGACGCAGCCTCAGGTGAAACAGAAAGTTGTGGGGCTGAACGGAGATCAGAGATGGCCATTAAAGCCAGGAGAGCCGACGAGGTTGCAGATGCAGAGAGGGCTAAGCCCCAAACCTTGGAAAGTGGGCTGCTTAATGACAGGGTCAAGATTGGGAAGGGAAGACAAGTGCCCTCAGAGAAGGGGTAAAGGCCAAGAAAGTATGACTCTAGTCCAGCAGGGCCTGGAGGGCTTGAGGAGGGCAGAAAAGAATAGCTGAAGAGGGGCCGAGGCACAGGAAGAGATGGCATAGTGGGTTGTGATCAGACAGAACAGTGCTGAGGTTTCTGATGAAGGAGGCAGGACACAATGAGGAATGATCAGATTCAGGGCGTGACTGTCCCTGTGTGGGTCTAGGTCGGCTAGAAGACATCAAAAGCTTGAGAGACTGAAGAAGGGGGAGGCTCGGAGGAAGCCATACGTGATTATCACAAGTGTTGGAATCCCCTAGTGTAAGGCCAGGAGCTGGGGAAGAAGGGAAGATGGTGAGCCAGGCACCTACATGCTTGCTGAACTCAGGATAAGTTAGAGTATTTTAATAGGTCTATGCCTGTTAAGGCTGCCTCTGGCTCTAAATCTATGATCTTTGGAGGTCCAGTCCAACTCCCCCACTCCCCATTTTACAGATCAGGAAACTGAGGCCCAGAGACAGGCACAGACTTGCTCAGAGCCTCACTGTTAAGTGCTAGAATTCAAACTCAAGGATCTTTCTTCTACATCATACACATGGCATAGTGGCTGCTTAGCCACAACAGAAATGATTTTTTTTTTCCCCACAGAAAATGTGTATGAAAGAAAGACTACAATTGCCCCCTTTGGGTCACACCTTACTGAGGGAAATTGTGGGGTCCAGTGATATAAGAGCCCAGTTTAACCATCCAAACACTTACCCGGCCACCATACGATGCACCTACCCTGCTGAGAGGGAAGCTGTTGGGGAGGGGGGTGGCAGAGAGGAAGGAGGGAATAAGCATTTACATAGTGCCCACTATGTGCCAGGAATTATGCTAAGCACCTTGTAAACATGATCATACTTGATCCGCATAACAACCCTGTGAAGTAGGCACTGTTATTGTCTCCATTTTCCGGTTGAGGAAACTGAGACAAACAGGGTTAAGTGACTTGCCCGGAGTCACACAGCTAGTTAAGTCTCTGAGGCTGAATTTGAATTCAGGTCTTCCTGACTTTAGGCCCAGTGCTCTATCCACTGTGCCACCAGCTGCCAGGTACAGGTCAGGTCTGAGGAGTATCTGGAAGTGTACAAAGTAGGCAAGTGATAAGAAAAATGGGATAAATGCTTTTACCCAGAGGGAACAAAAGCAGCCAGCAGTATGAGGTGCTCACTGTGCATCAGCACGCCCGCCCACCCACCTATGGATACGAGAGGGCCACGAGGCCACGGCACATGAAGAAAGTCCACGTCAGTCTGAAAGACTGAAGAAAAAAGCTCCGTGAGCACCGGAAGATACAGTTATATTCTAAAAGGAAAGAGGGACAAGACTCAGACCCAGCAATGGTTCAGAACTATCGGGGAGTCTATGAAAAGGTCCCCCCTTTGCCCAGGAAACACATGCCACCTTCCCAAACCCAAAGTGTAGACTCTTACCATTTGCATATGGTGTGACCATCTTCTTATTGGTCATTACGCGTGCTGTGGCGTTATTCACCTACAAATGAAAAAAGGGAAGGAAGGGGAGGGGAGGAAGCAGACCATATTAGGGAAAATGCAGGGGCCTTGATCCATTGTCATAATAAAATACTTTAAGTAAAGAAGCAAAGAGCTTTTTATAAAAATGTAGATTAATTACAGTTATAGTCTTAATTTTAATAATTAAAGTAATAATAAAAGATAAATATATCTACATTTGATATTTCAATCAAATTATTCATTAAACAAGGCCAACAAGAGTAAAATGTAGTTTCTCCAGCTCCGAATGGCATGTTTAGATCTTCATTTGTACCCTAGCAATCATGTGCTAATTCTTGTATGAGTGACTGAAGCACAAAAACTTCTACTTTGTGGGAAGAATGGAAAGTTAGCAGGGGATGCCACCATACTTTTAAAAAAGCTTTTCATTTAAAAAGTGGCAGGTCATATGGGTCACTGAAGGAGATTTTCAGACAGGACAGAAAAGTAACCTATCAGATTTAGCAGGCTCTTTGCCAGTCCATTAACATTGGCGGAGGGCTCATTGTACGTAAAACCCCTTGTTATCTGAAGTTGGTTGGAAAAAATCAAGGACTTTTAGTCCTAGTCAACTGATGGTGTTCAGGGTAATTTCGAACTTCCGAGGTCCAATGGCTAATTCATATCACACAATGCACACATAAAACACTTTCACAATGCCTATGAAATACATATTTTTTTGTGACAGATGAAAATTTATAGCTTCTATCTCTTTGCTTCACAGTGTTCTCCACCCTCTTTACAGAGCTCTGTATAATTTCAAGCATTCTCAGTGCCACAGCAAGTGGGTGTTACAGAAATGGTGCTGATAAAGAAAAGATGAATGGGGTTTGGAAGCCAAGAAACTGCAGCCCGTGTCAGAATCAGCCTCAAAGCTACTGCAAGGAGGGTGAAGCCTCATCACAGTAATTAATTACTGTGTTGGGTTGTCAGGTCAGAAGCCATAAAAAGGCCCATTTTAAGTAGAAGACAAACTAAAAAAAATGGCTTCATTCTTTCTCTTGGGATATACAGAGTTGAGAATCGGTGCAAGGAGAAGAGCTGAAACTACATTTACTCTAGCTTGACCCACCAAACAATATAAACATTTTACATTTAAAAAGAAAGAATGGGATACAACAATGATGAGACTTGAAGCATGCAAGTTAAAAAACACACACACAGAGATAAAAGAAAGAAAAAAAAACAATCAATTTAGGAGAGGAAGGGAAAAGGAAGGGAAGAATGGGTCTCACAGACAACTGCTAAGATGGCGCGAGAGCCTGAAATCAGCTGCTACAGCAGAGGGCAGCACAAGCACTTAAAGGAAAAATGGCCAAAACCCATCAGAGACCACCAGTCAGCAAAGGGAGACCAACAGCGGCATGGGAGGGCAGGGTGGAGGAGGAAGAGAGGAAAAGGGAGGAGCAAGAGGACAAAGAGAGAAGACAGAAGACAGAGGGAGAAGTGAAGACAAGACAGAAACTGAAAAAGAAAGGGCGGAGAGAGGAACAGGGATGAGAAATAAGAGAACCAGAGAGAGAAGAGGCAGCAGAGAACACAGACAGAAGGGAGGGAAGGCAAAGGAGAGAAGGAACAGAGGCAAAGAAAACTGGGGAGGAGCTGAGGGCTCCAGAAAAGACAAGGAGGCAGGAGAGGAACCAAAGGACACTCAGAGCCACATACAGAAGGCTTGGCGGAGAGCGAGAAAGAGGGAGGGGAGGGTGCATTAATAAAACCAGCCAAACTGGAGTTCAGTAACTCTGAGTAAGATGTGCAGGGGGAAATCACCATGAAGTCAGTAATCAAACAGCTCAGACTGCTACAAAACGATATGGACATCCAAAATCCAGGCGGCATTACTCAACAGCATTGAAAATAAAAGGGGGAAAGGGAAAAGGAGGGGGAAACAACAAGTCAAATCACATTTTGTAGTGTTAATGTGAGATGGCAGATGGATTTTTCTTTCTTATTTAATTGTTTTGTAATTAAATTTGTTTTTTAAGCTTCTTCTCTAGCGCTTTTATTTCACTTACCGCCAACTCGTACCATCGCCAGCTTTGTGTATAGTTACCATGGAAAGAGTGAGTCAAGTGAAGGGCCCTAAACGCTAAACCATTGAAAAAGGAAATAAAAAAAAAAGCAAAATATGCAGACATCTTACTCAAAACAGCGGCTTTTATATTTAATACTTTTTGTTTTCCTTTTTAGAGGCGGGCAGGGGAGAAGGGGCCAGTTAACCTTCACCACGGTGTAAAAGAAAAGCTAGTGAGCACCAGGTGGTGGCCTCGATAACAACAGTCCTTTATTAGCTGGCTCCAGCCAAATCCTGGATCGCAGGGTTTTGGTGGTAATAATTTCCAGAACTGTTGAAATCTCTGGTTTTTAAGCAGACCGGTGAAATTTGTTTTTAGAAGCCCATTGTGAGCTCGGTCCCTCTTCCCTTAACCATACCCCGACCCCACCCCCCAATCAAACTCTATCAAAAACAATCTCCTCCCCCTTTCTAGCACCTCACACTCATATGGAGGAGAACTGGCCTCTAAGGAGAGAGAGGATACTGGCTGGCACCCTGCTTCATTCTAGGACACAGAGTTAGAAATTGGATAGTATTTTTTCTAGTTAGTTTTTTTCTGGTCTGATATCAGAAATTCGGAGCCTCGCAAACTGAAGCAAAGGAAAATCAAGACAGCAGAAGGGTGAAAATTTTGGAGAAGGGGGGAAAAGAAACAAAAAAAAAATCAAAACTTAAACTTAAAATCCCCAAACAACCAAAAACTTTGGGAGGTGTAGGGGTGTCACTTTTATACATGTCAGTGCAGGAAGGTGATAGACATAGAGACACAAACACACACACGCACACACACACGAGACAGGGTTCCAAATGTGAAATAAGGGAGGCAAGACACAAAAAAAGAAATAAAAAGAATAGAAAGAAGAAATTGAATTATTGAAGACATGCACCTCGATTTTACGGCCCTCTACCACGGTGCCGTGTAATTTCTCCCTGGCCCTGTCTGCATCAGCACTATTCTCGAAAGTTACGAACCCGAATCCCTGCATGCAGCGGGAGAAGGGGGGAAAACATGCACATCGTTATATTGAAGTACTGATCTCTAGGTAAATAGAGAAAAAATATCACAGTATGAAATCGACATCAGCACAACTCAGCAATACTCTCCTAGAGTCACATCTTCGGTTCATGCATGTTTCATAAAAGGAAATTAAATCCAATAAAAGAATAAAGAATTATAATCAGAACAATAGTAATAATAATAATAATAATAATATAAATAACAGTAATAATAAAATAAAACATAAAGCAACTGAGGCCAGACCAAAACGAAGGTATAAAGTTACTCGGATCCTACTATTAAAAGGTAATTTATAACAAGGCACCATCAGTGCCCCAACAAGGTTGTTTATTCCAAACTCCTTTCTCATCATTTTTGAAGTCCAACACTGCAATCTTCGTGAAGTACTAAGAAGTACCTAAAGTTTTGAATAAATTTTAGAACTAGAAAAATTACAAGCACAAAAGTTTCCTGGCATCTCAGGTCCATTTTCAGCCTGAAGGTTCCCTTCTCACTTCCATACAGACTTTACCAATGTGCACGGTCCTAGCATTGAGCTGACCTTTGACCTGCTCCTAAAAGAAAGCACTTTTATTCTCCACAGAAAAGCAGGAATATAGAATTCTATCATGAAGGGTGATTCCCTGATGGCCGGGGACAGACCAGAAAGAGAAGTGACATCTTTTCATGGACGGACCACGCGAACACACCGCAAGATGAGCCCCAATGACTGGGGTCTTCCTGAAAACCAGTTCATGTGAACGACGGAAGAGAAGCTGCCTCCACTACGATCTTGTGATTTATTGCCAAACTTACCAGTACTGTTCCAGAAAAAAATGCAAACGAGTTAAAGGCAGTGGGAAAGTGAAATTAGTTCGGTGGTTTTGGAGTCTTAGGATTCACAAGGAACAACTGCAGAAGCGTGACTGAGGCCATAGCCACATCTCTCTGTACTGCTGTCTAACTGAAAGACGAGGTACATGTCTAACAACTCAGCACCCTCAGGAGTGCATCACACCCACTCTGTAAACGAGGGGATGAAGGCCTGGGCCCCCTGTCCAATGTGCTCCCCACTAGGCCAGGCTGCCACGACACAACTGCCCAGAAGGAAGTCTTCCCTGCGGATTCCTCTGCCTGGCATGGCTCTGGCAGAGTGGTGCTCCAGTGCTGTGATCCATCCCTCGACGGTTCAGGGAATCATGCATCAATCTCTTCCTATGCAGACATGAAGTGGGCAGAATAATGGGATCAAAGAGGTCAAACCATAATGGGCTCAGTGGTGCCACTGGTCATATCTTTTTGGCAAATTACTAGGCACCACCATGCCAATGTCACTTTCTTCTGACAGCTCAGTCGTTATCTGTCTTCCCTGCCACTGCAAGGGACCCGGAATGTTTGTCATCCTCCTTGTTCTCTTCTCCTACACTGTGGCAGGCTCAGGATTTCCCAATAAAAGCTTTCATCTCGCATCAACAACAGCCACATTGTACTCCCTAGTATTCTTTGAATCCCTCCCATTCTTGGGCTACCAGGGGCATTCTGTGTTTGCTGACATTATCTCCTCTTATCTCAGAGCCCCTCGGTAAGCTACAAATTCACTGAACTGAAATGGTCAGCAGTGTGCACAAGTAACCAAATAGCTCCCAGGAATGATGAACCGTTTGGAACACTGAGGGAGACTGAGTCCTCCTCTAGGTGCAAGGAGCTACCTTTATAAAGTCCTCTTTCCTTCTTGAACAATCCCCACCACAAAAAATTCTTAGAATTATGAAGCTAACCTGATTCAAAGACTGCCTCAATGCAATGGAACCAGCAGAGTTACAGAGAGAGTGGCTGTGCTCAGTACTCTTTTTGAGGTGAGTCTGTGTAAACAAGGATGGAATTTCAAATGCAAATTCCCACCCCTAAGTGTGTCAGGGCAATTCACAAGCGAATCAGCCAGTTATCAGACAGCCTGAATCAGACAGTTATCTGAACAAGCTTTTACTACAGAAGAGGCCAGATGAATTATCACCACAGTGGCCACTATCTTGGGAATAAAGAATCTTCCAATGGGACTTAAACTTTGAGCAAAGCTACTTGCTAACAAGGGTGAGTTTCTTTAGCACTTTTAAGGAGGACACATTTGTGTCTCCATTTCCATAAAGCCACAATCTTCTTGTCTTTATCTGCCACAGAACAGAATGGGTCTTGAAGAGGTAATCAATAACTAATCATCTATAACGATAACAACTGAAGTTCTCACAGCAGTACAAACTGCAGTAGGGCCAACCCTGGCCGTTAAAGCCTTGCCTGGCAATCAGTCTGCCTTCTGTCTGAGGTCAGAGAGGTTCATGTCATGGCTGGGCTCGGGGGAAAGGAGCTTTTGGTCACTGTAACTTCGACACCTTTTACTTACTAAGTCCTGGGGGAGCCATGACCCACACTAGGGGAGATAACAAGAGGGACAAAGCCACAGATGACAGAAAAGCAAGGCTCCTCTGGGTTTCTTTAAAGCCCCTTTTCAGAATCGCTTCTGACACACTCATAGAGGACTATCATTCCGCTCTCCCAGTAGCTTTCTGAGGGAACACAGGTACTATCCCAATGTACAAGTCAAAATAAACAAAGCCACCCAGGCAGCTGGAGTGGGAGCTGGGACAAGAATCCGTTTCTCTGAAAGCCTACAAGGTCCTTTCAATCATCAGTCTCTTTTCTCATGTCTTGGGGCTCCCTCAAAGTCCCCTTTTCTATAATCTTTCTTTCTGTTCCACAGCCTCTGTGGGACCGCACACGCATCCAAAAGAATGAGTGGTGGCATCACAAACACTAAATTCTGACAATGTCCAAAAAACTCTAGAAATTTAATAGTCAGCAAACATAAAATACGAACATCTCTGTCTGCTTGCTTAGCATGTCCACAAAAAATAATCTCATAGTCCAGGGTTGGAACCCAACTTCATCCTTAAATCACTTTTAAAATGCTTTACGAACAGAAGTATCTATATTGTACAGAAAATACTAAGATAACTATTTTATCAGGTCCTGGGCTTTCAAAGACAAACTGCCTTACATTTATTTACATAAAGAAATCGTGATTGATACCAACACTACAGATAGTTTGGGGTCGTGGTGGGGAGAGATGAAAGAAGCCTCCTTGTTCTAATGGAAACTCCTAAAAAAAAATACTCCAGTGGCCTGATTGAAGCAAGGGTGGGCCTGCGTATGGTGGTGTACTTAAAAATGGAACTGTAGGTGGTCAGGATAACAAAGAAAGGGACAATCATTTTAGGTGGTTCCTCTGTTGATTCACTTGCTATATTGTATAGCTGCTAGTAGTTTAGTAAGTTAAAAACTTAGAAACATGAAGTTACAGCAAATTATTTTAAAACCCTCATTTTCTTTTCAGAAATAAAATTTGCATCCCAATAGGCACAGCTGATCACTGGCTTTGCAGAAAGTTAGGTAGGTCCCATGGCCAAGAAACTGATACCTGAAAAATTATAATAGCTACAACTCCTATTAGAAACTAAATCAAGGCCAGATGACCTGTGAGGTTCTCCCAGCCCTGGCAATCGATGAGTCTATGAAATATGAATCAATCAGATTGAGGGAGTAAAATTTCAAACAGCAGATGAAAGACATACAGAAAAATAGATGGAGAGCACTTGGTAATCAAACTCTATTGAAAGAAATGAAATTTTGTTTCCCCCAAATATTCTGGGATAACATTTAACCTAAATACTGTTTCCCAGGTTTCTCAGTTAACTACAAGATGTTACAAAAGATCTAAGCGCCAAGAAAAAATGCAATATTACAAGACTGGGCGGTTATGTATTCTATTAGCCATTAGCGCTGTCATTGACTTAAGCCTCCTCCAGAAAGTTTTTATTTGTCAGGTATATAGCTTGTAACCATTTCTGCCCCACGTTTTGGCACCATTTCCAAATAAGGGTGCTTGGGGAACCGAGTAACTGTTACCCTTTTAGTCTGGCCTCCGATTCTGCAATAAATAACGAGCAACAGGATGAGCAGTGTAAAAAGAAAAAAATGTAGATAAATATATTGAGATAATCTTTGAATGTTTCCATCTCTGAAGAATGAGAAAGAAAATTTACCATGTAACTTTTAAGGGAGAAATCAAAAGCAGACGGTTCTCCTGGGTATGGCCAGAACACAGAAATTAAAAAATAAAATAAATAAAATAAACAAAAACCAAACCAAAGTAAAATAAAAAGCCCCAAACCCAGAAAGTGAAAACAAAAGGAAAGTAAACGAAGCCCTCTTCAAATCCATGCATTGTTAACTCTTAGTTTTAAGCATAGTGAAAAAATACTCGCCTCTACAGCGTTATTTATCCCAAGATGCTAAATACCAACCAAGCCTTATTTACTATTACATTCCAAAATTCATCTTGCACGTATTTCAAAAATAAATTCCTTCTGTGGTCAATCAAGGCTCAAAGCCCCAGGAAAAAGCCAGGCAACCCCAGCACCAGTGTGACTTGCTTCTGAGGCTTGGGGGCCAGAGGCTAGCGCCGCCCTCTCCCCACAATCTTGGGCAGACACACCTGAGATAAGTGATGAGCTCACACTGAGTGAAGTGGGCCTGGCTCAAGATCACAGTAGTAACTACTGCGCTTCATGCTGGGCTCTAAGGGGCAGTTTCTGCTACCTCAAGTTTCCCCATTCTCATTGTGATTTCTCAATCGACTTTGGATCTCTCAAGGGAAGGAACTGAGTAGTCTTCCAGATTCCCAGGGACAAGGACAGCAACACTGCTTCAATTGCTTCAAGCATTAACGTAAACCAGGAAGAATTCTTAGAATCTGCATATTTCTTCATGATTATCCAATTGATTATCCAATACTGTGCACATTATTCTAGATGCAAACAATACTCCCATTTCGTGCTGATGGTAGTGAGAGAAGAGGCCGTCCAAGAAACATCTCAGGCTGCCTGTAGGAGGTGGCCAGCCAAATTTTCTAGCATTTTGGTTGTTCTCTTCTTTTTCTGGGAGGACGAATTAACCACATCTGAAGCATGTCTGATTTGGGGGTGCTGGAGCTTTAAGAGGGTCACTAACTGGCTTCAGGGTTATCCAGGAGGTGGAAGAGGATGGGGGGACTCCGGAAAGTTCCTACTCAGGAACTGAGGCTACGAAGCTAGGGAAGAGCTGGACTTAAGAGAGTGTGTTCTGGGATATCTGAAGGGTGATGCCACAGGAGAAGGAACCTCATTCGGCAACTCCAGAGGCCAGAACGAGGACCGACGGACAATAATGACAGGGGAAACTTTTAGCTTAAAGTAAAGAATGATTTTCCAATAAGTAAAACTGTCCAACAACAAACTCAACTGCCTTGAAAAGTGGCAAGCTCCCCATTACTAGAGGTAGGCAAGGAGAGGCTGGAAGGGAGGACAGATGGGGACCCTCACACTGGGTAGGAGGTTGAACCAGTTAATCCCATAGGTCCTTCTCAATTCTAAGGCTTTTTTTCCCCCAAAGGACTTCTACAGTAATTTTCTCAGTTGTGAGACATTTCATTACAGTTAGGCTTTAAAGGATATATATCTCCCCAATAATGCTAGGGTCAATTTGAAAAAAGTGTTGGCAGTTTAAATGTACAGGGACAAATATCTGGTTATATTCCTTATTTATCAGGGAAAAATCAGCAACTTTGCTGGCAAGGACATCATTTCTCATCATAGTTTTAATGTATGTTTTCAAAAAGATGGAAGGATATTCTACCCTTCTTTTAACTGGTCTGAGAAAATGAGACAGCAGAATTGCCTTTCTTTTTGGGGGGAGGGAAGTAGAGGAAGTGATGAGAAACAGGATATAAAACGATAGGGCAACAGAATAACAAGGTCATCTAACATAATCTAGATAAATAGGATCTAGAACTTTCAAGGCAAAATGAGAAGAGAAAATAGTTTCCTTAGAAAAAATCAAAAACCCTCCCTGTGAGGGAAAACAACTACAGGCAACTTGAGAACATGGAAAGCCAGGAGGCTACATGACTTTCCTCTGTGCTTTCAAACTGATCGGCAGCAGGCAGCATTGGAGGTGTGGGAAGGAGGCAGAACTGAGATGCAGAAGAATGAGGTGAAAAAAATCCTGGCCCTGCTCCTTGAAACCTGTGTGACTCTGAGCAAATCAAGTCACTTCTCTGGGCCTCAGTTTCCTCATTTGTAAAATAAGGAAGCTGGACAAGGTGGTCCCTAAGGTCTCTTAGTCAATTTAGAAAAAAACATTGGCCAATAATGCCCTTTCTCAAAACCCTAGAATTTTGTGAGTCAGTGATTTCAGAACAGGACAGAGATGTCTCTCCGAGGGTAGTGCAGTCCTTACTTATCCAGCGCATACAGTTTTACAGATATTCTGGCTCAGTGGTATCTCGTAACTAATTTTCCTATCCCCACTGCAGGATATTCAGGATGGCCATTTTCTAAAGACAAACACTCCTGCAGAATGAGTGACTGGTTTATAAAACAAGGTCACTCTGGTGAGAGTTTCCCTTTCTTTCATTCAGTCCTTTTCAAACCACAGGCCCACCTTATATGCTAAGTCCTCACTACATCGAATTTCTCAGCAGCATATAAAAAAATACTTATTGTAATGAGAAGTGGAGCTCACCACTGATAGAAAAAGTTCATCAGTTTATCTCAGGTGGTCCCTAAAGAAAAGACTCTAGTGTCTGGATATCCCATTTCACCTCTATCACCCTCCTCAGAGCAATTTCAGGGGCCCATGTCAGCCAAGAGCTTTGGACAGAGTTAAGAATGGACAAAGAGCAACGTCCTGAACCCATTGATGGAATCCCCATCAGTGCTAGAAGGCAGATCCAGGGCTATTTTAGGGTTTAGTGCTATGCTTTAAAAACATTTATTCCCCCCAATACAAGGTATATCCTTTAGGAACTCAGGGAAGAAGAAAGGGGCAGTGAGGAACACAGGACAAAGCTGACAGCAGCAGGACTTGATTTTGGACTCTTCCAAAAAGAAAGAAAGAATAAATTTCTATCATTAGTTTAGAAAGAAAGTTACAGGGCAGTGGAAATTCCATCAGGTGAATTTACCATGTTTTGGTGGAGTGAACACCCCAGAAGTGAGAAAAAGAAGCCGTAAGAAAGATTCATTTCCTTTGCTTCACAAGAATTTCATTAAGTTATGTCCCCACTAAGGAGCAGGTCCTCAGTGCCCAGAGCCCCTCATCCCATGAAATCACATTGGGTTTCCGGTTTCCAGACTTGAGCGGGCAGCATCATGAAGCAAGTACTTAAAGCCAAAGCCCGTCAGGCCAATCCTTTGGGCGCAGGCTCTATGGCCGGCGCTTATCTTGGACGCGGCTGCTCCCCTCCCCTCGGAGCCTGGAGCACCAGTTTGGCACCTGCTCGTTGCAGGGAAATCGACAACGAGCAATGGGAAACTGTGCCCCAGAGGAGCGGAGGTCCAGCGTGCAGAGACCTCCGATTCACATCTCCTTTAAAAATACTTACCAAGGAAATTCCTGGGGAAAATTCTGTAGGGTTAGCAGCAGCCAATCTTTTTTTGTTTGTTTTAACTGAAAACTGGAAGCCTGGAGCACAATTACCTTCTTACACAGTTAAAACAAAGGCTGACATTCACAATTCAATACTCGTAAGACACATGCCACTTGGAGTCCTCAGGGCTGATGTTTCTTATCAAGGAGGGCCAAGGTGTGTATGTTTTTGAGAGCACTTTAAACTGCCTGGCCTGTGGTTCATTCCAGAAGCAGAAGTTCTCAAATGGGGTGGACGTGAGTATAGATGTGGAGGGCACAAGAAATGGGGGTGGGAGGACACACACGGGATTTTAGGCAAAACGATCCTAGGTATAGGTTGAAACTGCCTCAAAGACCATGCAGGTGGGACAGGGAACGTGAGGGAAATGAACTCACTCCTTGGATGACAGTCCAACTGGCCTTCTTTTTCTTTTCTGATCACCTTCTGAAGTGATGACATTTGGCTGCAGCCAAATACTCTTGCCAAATTTGAGCAGAAATGACTGAATGAAAATTAGGTCAACAAGTAGAGCCTGGACTAGCGTTGGCAAGGCTGGTGATTGACTACAGTGTGTCATGTGGGAGGGAGGGATGCATTTTTAATATCATTCTTTATAAAAGTCTCATTTTTAATGCTAGAAAATTCCATCCTCCATGGCATAGTATTTATTTCGGGATAAGGGGATCGGCATGTATGACAGTGATGGTTCACCATAGTGTATGCCCCAGAGAAGAGGGCAGAGCACAATCATCCAATGTACTAGGGGAGTTACAGGGAACACACATAAAATACTTTGTGCTTCAGCTCTGCTAATAGACCTTTAGGTATATACATCCAGAGAATTGAAGAGAGCAAAGTAAATTTTAGTAATTTAGCCACAGCCAAGTGGGATTTATTTAATTTGACAACAGGAGAAGCATTTTCAAAATAAACTACACAAAAGTCTATTTCTTAAAGATTTTCTCATAACACTTATCTGATATAGTAATAAACTTATCCACCCCAATTTTTCCTTTCATTTTCTTAAGTGCATAGACTTTTAAAATCACACAAGCCAGGTACTGAAGATGCTAAATAAGTCAGTGGAATACAGGAAATGCTTATTGTAATTAAAGTATTAAATTTAGTATCAGTGAAGCCAAACATTCCTTGGTAAGAGTTCTTCTTGCCTGCTTCATTGCAGGTTTCAGACTGAATTTCCTTGGGAGGAGTCAAATCCGTTGTTAAACCCTGCACTGTGAATTCTGACGAAAAACACCACCACCAGTCTTTGCCTTTGGGAACAGGGGGACATTTATAGTGGGGGCCGCCTGGTGGTCAGACCTTCCTTCTATAACATCTAAAAGATGGAAATAAATCAGTTCCTGGTGAAAATTTGGGCCACTGTGGCTAGTTTTAATTCAGGCCATGAAAATCTGCTTTTGTTGTGTTTAGAGGACAGCTTAGATTGCTTAAAAGATGAAGGGGGATCAATTCCATAAGCAGAACATTAAATATATTCCAAAAGTCTTTACTGCAGGCTTCATCTAAAGGCCATAGCGAGGGCACAGGGGTAACTGACCCTGATCCTCCAGTGCCCATGGCAGATAAGCTGTGGCAGGCGCTAGTGGGCTGGAAAGACTTAATGTCTGCTGCCTGATGCCCAGCCTGGCTCTATGCTCAAAGGTTCACGATCACAGCAAACTGTAAAGACCATACAGGGACCATCACTGACAAAATAACGGTATGAAAAGGACAAAAGTGTTTCCAAAAGGCAAACGGGTTTTGTCACTTTGGGTCTCTGTTTCCAATCGTCTTCTTGGATAGAAGCGTAAGAGACACATGCAGGCCTAACAAGGGATGACTGCCTCTCACTTCTCACTCTAACTTCCCTTCACTCCATGGAGTAAAACTAGGGTCTGATGCTTTTATAGCTTGGAACATTTGCCCTGAAATATTCAAGCTTTAGAGACTTCTTTTAAAGTTCAGGAAATAGCTTGTGCATTTTTCAAATATAGCTGTTCCTACTGATCACTGAAGAGTAACCAAATTACTTTAACAAGGGCCATGAGCATTGAAACAGGACTTACCTTGGAGCCACGTTCATTAAAGATTATTTCTACATCAAGGATTTTGCCAAACTGCTGCAGAGATTGAAAAACAAAACAAAACAAAACAAAACACATTTATTTCTGAACATCAAACTTGAAAGTGCTCCTTTTTCAGCCCAGGAAAAAGAAGTTTAATTTTAATAATTTAACTTTTACATTTTTGCCTTTTAAGGTCTAAATTTGTCTCTTCGTAACAACAAATTTTCTTCTCCCTTCCCCAAACCATCTTTGACTTTCATTGATGTCAAGAATTTTGGGGGAATATACCTCTAACAAATCATTCAGGCCAAAAATGATTATTAAGTGTCTACAATGGACAAGGCATTTAAGGGATTACAAAGAATAAGATTCAGTCTCTGCATCCCTGGATCCATCTAATAAATCAGGCATGGAAATACACCATTGCTCTTCTCTCACGCTGCTAAGTACATGGGCCTTTTAACACCAAGTGCTCTAAGAAGCCTATTAAATTCTGTTTCTGTTTTCAGTCTTGAGAGCATTAATACATCTCGGATCAGGGAGAGAGAGAGAGGCAATCAGAGTTAGGTGACTTGACCAGGGTCACACAGCTAGTGACTGAGGCCACATTTGAACCCAAGTCCTCCTGACTCCATGGTTAGTATTCTTATCTACTGTGCCGCCTAGCTGCCCCTAAGTCCTGAATTTCTGTGAACAAAGATATATGGTGTAAAAATGCTGTGCATTATTTTTCTGAGAAGTGATTCATCCAGATATAGGACCCCTTCCAGGCCATAGCAGTAAGTTGGACATCCCAAAATGACAGACTGAATTAACTCTGTTCCTAGAAAATTTAAAACCTGAGACCAGCTTCTTCCTCAGGCTTTCTGGAAAGGTTCGCTTCTAAAGAGCTCTTCTAATCACACATAGTTGTGTTTTGTTTTTTTTTAATCTCTTCTGTGTATTACTGTTCATATTAAAAATCTCAGTACTAGGAACAAATCTCACTTAGCAAAAATTAATTATTGAAAGAAAGTTTTTGATAAGTTCTTGGCAAAAACTTGTAGAACTTTATCATGCAGAAAAATGAAGTTGGGATATAAAGTCTACACCAATCTCTCAGAAATTACACAAATGGCTAAGAGGTCACACCCAAAACCTAGTGTGTATTACTGGGGAATACTGTGTTATTAATGCATTTAATCAATGACTTGGAGGAATGGGATTGATGGAATGCTCACTGACTCTTCACGCAACACTGAGTCTTCCGGGGATTAGATGATAGCATAAAAAAAATCAGACTGACTTGGACAATATAGAGAAATAACTCATCAAAAATATACTGGTCTGAGATCAAATTAAGAAAGCCACTCAACAAAAATGAATAATTCAAACTCCAGATAGGGAATGACTTTATACCTATAGAGGAGAAAACAGCTTGGAGGTCATGGTGGACATCAAATTGAAAACAAGGCAGCAAAGCATTGCTGAGACAGAAAAACTAAAACTATGAGGTTGCATTAGGAATATGCTGTGTAGACAGCAATAATGCATCCAGCAGAGGCAGCAGGAGTTGCTTCCTTAAGAATGCTGCAAGGGTATATACAAGAACAACCAAAATGAGGGAAAAGATGAAAACAGAACCTACGTGGAAGGCTAAAAAAGTTGAAACAATGGTTCACGAGGGGTGAATCAATCTTGAGATAGTTCCAAGCTTATATAGCTATCCAAGAAAGTTTGTTTTTTTTTAAAATCACCACCAAGAACACAAAAATCACAGAACTAGAGCAAATGGGCTCAAAGTAAAAGCAGGCGAGATGACAAAGATCTAAATGATGGTTAATATTAACAAAGCCTAGAAGTGACTGCTAAAGGAGGAGGGCATCATAGTTTAGTGGAAAGACCAAGTGGACACAAAATCAGGAGACCCGAGTTTGAACCTCAGTTCTGACATGGATTAGCTATGTGACTTGGGGCTTAAAAGAACCAGAGTCACCATTTTCTCATCTCTGTAAAATGGGTAGAATAATATTTGCACTAGCAGCCTCCCCAGGCTGTTGAGGGAAAATACCATATAAATGCAAGTCTAGACACTTTTTTTCCGTTTTTTGGTTCAGTCTTGTCTGGAAAGAAGATACTGAACTAGATCACCTAGAAATTTTAGGATTCTGTAACCTCTAGGGGCATAGAAGATGTAACAAATTGCTTGTATTTTTGTTTTTTTTTTTTTAAAATAATCTCATTCGAATTAATTCCTTCATTTTTTTTAGAAATCACTGACTTACATACAAATCCACCTCTGCTCTGAACCAGCAAGGTGCTACTCTGGAAAAAGCAATGGCATTGGAGACAGGAGCCCGGGGTTGGAATTCCAGCTTGTCTCCCTGGGTGGCCCTCGGAGAGGCCTCTTGAGGAGGAGAGACTAGATGGTCTCTGCGATCTCTCTTCCAACTCTAGACCCTGTCACTCTGTGCTCTGCTGGGTGTGAGACAGACAACCTTCAGGTTCCTCTGCTGCTCTTGGTGAACCTGGTCCTTCCTCTGTCCTTTACACTCATCTCTTAAAATTTTTTCTCCTATTAATGCTATCTTGGGAAAAGTTTCAAGAATGAATTTTCTAGCTTTCAGATGGTAGTGAAGAAATCAACACACACCCAAAAGGCAGAGAAGCTTGTAAGAGGCTTCAAACTAGTGTTGTTCTACTCAAGCCTCTTTTCAGTAAATTGAAGTTTCATTTCAGCAAAATTGTTTGGTTGGTGGAATCACCCATTCACATTATTGCTCTAGGCTTTCTAAAACATGATGTGAAGGAAATAACACCAAGAGAAAAGTGGGAAACCCCTTGGCTGAAGGTTATTCCAACATATCGAGAGGTTCTCCAAACTTCTGTGAAGTGACGAACAGTAAAAGGTGAACTCGGTATCATGGTGCCAAGGGGCTTATGTGTCTTACCGGCAAAACCAAGCAGGCCAGAACCAAAAGAGATACAGCTAACAAATTCTCTCTTTTCATCTGGGTCATAAAATGGGCTACTAGTCAATATATCAATGAAAAATATCAATTTGAATAATTTCAAAGAGCCAATGAGCCAATAGAGACTGAAAATCGAAATTGGACTATGAGATTTTATAGGTAGAAAGATGTGACAGAGGGTCTATTCCCACCCCCATTTTACGGATAAAGACATAGAGACCAAGAAAAGTTGAAATTTACTAAAGTTCCTGCAGCTACTACGGTCATTTGAGTCTAAGCTCCTTCACAGACCAGAATCTAGACTTCTGATGTTCTGAACACAATGTGCTGCCTTCACCATGAGGAGCATGGAACCTGAGGTAAATGATCTTTCTACAAAATTCATTCATAAACATGGACTAATAGAATTCAGGGCTTTGGGAGGGGGCAGTGGAGGGGAAAAGAGGGCAAATTTTTGTTTTCTAACCCAAGGAATCAAACCACAGCTGAGGAAGAAAACACAATCTTGTCTGCTTCCTTCAAGGTGACTAAGCCAGGGGTAGAAACCATGTGTTCCTATATGGACCCAAGCAGAAACTCACACAGCCAAGGGCCAGCCTCTTGCTCAAGGGGGTCAACAGGCTGCCGAGCCCCTGGGCTCCGCCTTGCTCTGCTCACTGCCATAAAAACAGCAGAGGCTAATTAAGCACGTTCCCTTTCCCACTCTTCTCCCCCCACCTCCATTGTAAATAATATTATTCAAAGGTCCAGAGGTCTGTGGGCTTGAAAGAGACTCCAATATGGCCATAGAAGGCTCAGTCTGTTGTCTTTGTTGCTGTGATTCTTAAGGGCTTTTTCCTTGCTTAAGAAATTGTTCAGTGTTTCATATTGTGCAGCACCTGACTCAGACTGCTGCTCCTCTAGACTGGGAATTGCCTCTGCTACAACTGAGTGCTATTCCTCAGATCCTAGAACACTACAGATGATGATTTGATGGAGAAGAAAAATATTTTTTTTTCTTTTTAAAATGATTCCTACTAGGGGCAGCTAGGTGATCCAGTGGATAGAGCACCAGCCCTGAAGTCAGGAGGACCTGAGTTCAAATCCGGCCTCAGACACAAAACACTCACTAGCTATGGGACCTTGGGCAAGTCACTTAACCCCACTGCCTAGCCAAAAAAAATCAAAAAATAAAATAAAATGATTCCTACTACAAGAAAATCTTCCATTCCTGATTCCAAGCCTACTCACTCTACTTTAAGACCTGCTTTAGCTCATTCTCATTTTGTACTGCAGCATGGAAATAAAGAATCATTCTCTTTGAATATACAGATAACTGTTTGGCCATGCTGATTCGTGAATGGCAGAGTCCTATGGCGCTGGGTTGGTGGGACTTGTTTTCCACAGGAGATGTCAGGTCTCACTAGTCAGTCACAGAGGTGTCTTCTTACTTTACTGACCCCACCAACTTTTCTTGTCAAGAGATGTGATCAGAAGAGAAGGACAATTTTGCAGTAGGTAAGTAGATACCTTACTTTATTTCCTGAATGTCCTATAAAATTTAGGCAGTAGAGAGGGCAACCTAGGGGTTACTAGGAAATCTTTCTTTTGTATTTCATTCTCAAAAAGATATCCAAGGTGCGTTTCAAAGAAAAGAATCACTGGGATAGTGGAATCCTTAAAATAAGCCTCTAATCTATGTTTTTTAGGCTCATGAAAATATTCTGAGGCCTAAAGATTTTTCTCAGTCTATCTATAAGGCCATTCCACTAAGCAAATGTTTTGATAATTTATATACTCTTGGGGTGATTTACATGACAATTGTAAAATCTTTTAAAATGACTTGAGATTCACTTTACCTTGATTTGATAAGCATTTATTAAGCACTTATGCAATACCAGAGACTTACCCCAAACATCTGCCGGAGATCAGGGTCACGGAATCGGAAGGGGATGTTGGAGACATGCAATCGTTTAGGGGTAGATTTACTCTCGGTACTCTCACTACTCTGTGGCTGTGACTGCTGTCCATCTGTCTGTGCCCCTCCTTCTGTCTGCTGAAATAAAAGAAACAAGTGATACTGGCTGAAAAAAAGAGCACCACTTCACAAACATCACATATGGCAATTAAAGATCTAGTCTCAACTGCAACTTACTCTTGGTACCACACTCAGTACCTGGGTAAAACTATGGCTGCCACTTTTCATTCTAAGAGACAACCAAAAAAAGAATAAGCCAAAGCTTAAAAAACGTTTTAACGGAAGGGAAAATCTTAAATCTTCTGGATACCCTCAGACCATTTGGAGACAAGTGCCACCCAACCACGCATGAACACAGTGCTTCCCCAAGCATTTAGCCGTCATCTCCTTCTTCCCAGGCTTGTTCTCTTTTCAAGGCCACATTATTTCTAAAATAATTCATCTGCTTTATTTATTTATGGCAATTGCTGCATTTCGAGCTGCCCTTTTCCAGCCCTTGCTAGAAATGAAAATAAAATTTTTTTTCAACTCTCATTTGTTATAGGTCTTCTGTGTGACAGAAAAGGGAATCTTTCCATTTGCTCCCATTTGGACATGCTCAGAGGAGCTGTGAATCATAGACCTTTTGGGCTCAGAACAGGACACCATCTTCAAAAAGGTGTTAAAATTTTAAAATTTAAAAGACTACCTGGAACTACATTAAGAACACATGAAGCAGAGTTTCACATTATCCAGCTTAATGATGACGGCTTTCTGCATTGTTCCATTCGGACCATGCAGACAGCACAAATGGATGTGATCTATTTGAACTAAAAAACTGCAGTGAGAGTTGAAGAACTATGAAATTCTGCTGGGCAAAAATAGCAGATTTTCAATCACCAAATTAAGTACAGTATAGACTAAACAGAACAAAATCCATTCAGACAGGAAACAAAATAACTAAAACAGCATTAAGTAACTCAAGAGGTAGCTCAATCTATCTTTAAGTAAACACATTCAGATTTGCGTCAAGCTCTCTTCTCATCTGTTCAAATTTCATTCAAAACTAAAAACACTAAACATAACTTCCTGAACTTTGACTAGCTGTGTCTCTGAATAGGAAAAGTATGGCTACAAAGGGAAAAGAAAAAAGTCCACAAAGTCCAGTTTTGCTTCATAGACTTGCCCTCTATGTGTCATGCAACCTGGGACATTTGTGTCTGAATTAGCACTGCAGGTCACTGAGTTTTTCTACCACACATCATCACAACAGCTACTTCTAGTATTTATTTATTAGCTAGAATTGCATTCATTGCTACCTAGGTCACTTTTTTTTTAAAGGTCATAGACCAGATTGGTTCATCTAATAATAACAATAACTAACATTTAAATAGTGCTTTAAGGTTGGTAAAATGTTTTATAAATATTACTTCATTTGATCATCACAGCAATTCTGGGAAGTAGGTGTTATTATAATCCCCATTCTACAGATGAGGAAACAGGCCAACAGACCTGCCCAGTGTCACAGTTAGTAAGTATCTAAGGCTGAATTTGAATTCAGTTCTTCCTGACCCCAGGTCTAGCCCTCTACCACTGTATAACTTGCTGCCTAATCTGTCAGCTAGGAAGAAAACACCAGAGTATCACTTTTCTAAAAGCATCTCAGCTTTGCCATCTGTGCGACCACAGGCCAGGCAACTGACTTGTTTGAAGCTTGGTTTCCTCGTGTGCAAAACAGAAGGAAGAACATTTGCACTGCTACTTATGATCAGATGTGGACGAGCATCTCAAGATGTGAAGATAGGAACGGGTTGTGCTTTGTGTCACTGCACACTGGTGAGATGAGGGATCCATGGACGACTGCACTGTCTGCCTTTCTGAGCTGTTGTGAAGGGAGATTCTGATCGTGGGGGATTTGGTAAACCTAAAAGCTTGGTCATACATGTCAGCTGTCAAGGTGAAGCTCCTGATTCTCAGTGGGGTTTGAAGCACAAAGAGGATGACTTCTATTATGAAGCCCCATGACTCCCTGCGAGTCCTCAGATTCTATATAACACTCTGTAACTATGTAACTGCACCATACAACAAGCCACGATACATCTGCATGCACAGCAAGGATCCTACTCCATTTTCAAGTTGAAGAAGCTGACATTCATTAGACTCTCAAACAATCTGATGCTAGACTTGGTTTTTAAGAAGACGTGAGCATACCAGGCCTGTAATTCTAGCCTCACTCAAGGACAGAGATGAAAGAATGAATATATCTAAGACACTACATGAAATTACAACTAAAGCAGTAATAAGAGGTGCTGGACACTGGAGACCTGGGCAGAAATAGAAACAGAAATTGTGTATACTGAGGCTGTGTAGAATTTAATAATATAAAGTGGATAAGTCTTAGATTCCCCATTTAATAAAAGAATCCCTTGCAACTCATTCTAATTAGAGACTGCCTTACTGCAAGAATAGCTCTTGCTGTTCAATCAGAGATGGGAAACAAATGAGAGTGTTCAGGCTTTTGGTCTTTGTATACACAGATATTAACCATTTTTCAGGAAAATGTCAGTCAGGGTATGACTGGGTTGGGGGTAGTCTTCTATTGTTAGCTGCTGAGCAACTTTACTGGTGGCAGAAACAACCTCCAAAGGTCTTGTTTTTCCTTTTGTGGTAATTGTTTGACCTAATTTATTCACTGGGCAGAAGATAAAACAGAATAGGCTGGAGTCTGTTTACTGGAAGTGTGGAATGAAGATTGGCAGCCGCTACCCTGATGAAATCATGTGGCTAAAGCATGTACATCTGCCCTTCGCCCAACCTCTCGAGCTGAGCAAGGCCTGGTGGAATCTTTCTGTGTGATGATCCAGGCTAAAAATGGCTCTCTACTCTCAATCTAGAAACTGTTTCTAAAGGCTTCTCTGGTAGCAGAGCCTTCAAACTGAGCACAAATTGGCATTTTTAATCTGACTCAAGTGTCTCTCTACTGGTAACCAATATCTGTGTGTGTGTGTGTGTGTGTGTGCGCATGCACACACACACACACACACACAGAGGAAACTCATAACTATTTATCACATTGTACAGTGGTAACTGGAGGGTGGACCAAGGCACTCTTCCCAGGAGAGGTTACAGAATTCTGATATGTCTCAAGATCTATGTTCACAGAAACTCTGAGACTTCATGCCGACTACCAAAGACACACTCCATTACTCAGGGCACTGATTTTGCTTTGTGCATCATCTATCACATCACCCCTTCCTTGTTGTACTGTCTTTCTCAATGATTTCACAGTGAATAACAATTCTCTCTTTTTAGAGTGCTTTGTGAGTTCAGAGAGCATAATCTTCACAACGTTTCTGTGGGCCACTTCTATCATCCTGGGATTATGATGAGGGAAGGAAAAAAGAGGAATAAGGGAAAAGGAGATAGAAGGGGCAAGGGAAGAGAGAAACAGGGGAAGAAAAAGAGGAGAGGAAAAGGGATAAAAGCAAGAGATAGTGAAAACAAAGCAAGAGAATGAAATTTTTTGTTGTTCAGTCATTGCAGTTGTATCTGACTCTTGGGTTTTCTTGGCAAAGATACTGGAGTGGTTTACCATTTCCTTTTCCAACTCACTTTATAGGTGTGGAAACTAAGGCAAACAGGGTTAGGTTGACTTATTGAGGGTCACACAGCTATTAATTTCTGTGCCCAGATTTGAACTCAGGAAGATCAGTCTTTCTGACTGATGAAATAATTCTATTAATTCAGCTCTTTTATAGGCTAAGTACAGGATGAGAGCAAAAATTAAAATGAGTTACTTACAGGCAATATTCTTCAGGGTTCTTATGCTACTAACAGCATAGCAAAACAGACTTAAGAGGATAACAAGAAATGGAAAGGCCTTCAGGTCCTACCAGAGCAAGAATATCATCAGTAATATGTCCAACAAGTGGACAGGTAGCCTCTGGCTGAACGTCTCCAGTGAGCTCACTAGGCAGTCCATAAGACTTCTAGACAGCGAGCCTTTGCCCAAGTCTTTAATAAGCAGCTGAAGTCTGTCTCTGAGGTCATTAAGACCAATTTAATCCTTCAAATGCTCAGGGACAGCAATCATGCTCCTCTTCTAAGTTTTCTCTTCTCTAGGCTAAACATCCCCACCAAGGTCCTTCAATTGATCCCGAAACAGTCTTGTTTCAGGTGCTCTCCCAACGCTCTTTGCCCTCCACCCGGATGAGCTCTGACACGGCAGTGTACTTACTACTAAGACCTTTTAGGATGGCCCTTGGGATTGGCTGACATTCCACACTGTTGGTTGCCACTGAGCTTGCAGCCTGCTAAAACCTCCTCGTCCTGTTTTTTGCTTTTGCTTTTTTCTAATATGAACCACTGCCTACCCATGCATTTGTCACCCTACACTTCTGCTGTTGTTTTCTCTATTTATTTATTCATTCATTCATTTTTACATTTTAAATTTCAAACTGTCTCCCTTTCTCCCTCCACACCCCCACACTAGGGAAGGTCACCATTTCTCTCTCTCTCTCTCTCTCATATCTCACACACACACACACACACACACGTGTAAAACTATACTATTCATACCCTTCTATTTATCAGTTTTTTTTCTGGAGGTGGATAACATCCTCCTTCATAGGTCCTTTGTAGTTGATTGGAGTATTTATAATATTCAGAATAACAGTTATTTACAGCTGTTCTTTGAACAATATTACTGTTACTATATACAAAATTCTCTTGGTTCTGTTCATTTCACTCTTTACTATTTCATGCAAGTCTTCTCATGTTTTTCTAAAATCAACTTGCTCATCATTTCTTACAGCACAGTAGTATTCCATCACAATCATATACCACAACTTGTTTAGCCATTCCTCAATTGACGGGCATCCCTTCAATTTCCAATTCTTTGTCACCACAAAGAGAGTTGCTACAAATATAGGTTCTTTTCCTTTTTCCCTAATCACCTTGGAAAACAGACCTAATAGTGGTATTGCTGGGTCAAAGGATATACACAGTTTTATAACTCTTTGGGCATAAATCCAGATTGCTCTCCAAAATGGTTGGATAAGATCACAGTCCCACAAACGGTGTATTAGTGTCTTAATTTT